TGACACCAATCTTTCTGCAATACAGTTCAAATCGGTACACGTTTAGGCTACTGTTTGACTTACAGAAAATCGTCATCATATCATTATTATTAACAAGTATTTCTGTTAACTAGCTAAAAAACTGAATATGGGCACCATTTATCACCCCTGACTGGAGATATAGATCTCCATCTGTGGGTTTGCCCCTGAAGGGACCAAATCTTGAACTCTGGTCTGTCAACCAAGGTTGTTGAGACCATTCTAAACTCTACAGCCCTCTACCTCTAAATTAATGATCCTGCATGCGAGTACCAAATGAAGTTACTTTCATGGCATCTTGCGCATGAATGGCTTATAGGACAAGTTTGGTATTTTACACTTAAAGCCCTGTTTCAAGATCGTTTCTGATAAAATAGAACGGTTAAGATTAAAATTTGGACACATGCTGCTGTCCCGAGAAATTTCGGTTTCTGTGGTTGCACCCATGCCACGCTCAAAATTGCTTAAATCACCTTTCTTTCCTATTCTGACATTCAGTTTGGAGTTCAGGAGATTGTCCAGGACCACACCCCTAAATGCATTGAAGCAACTGCCATGTGATTGGTTGATTAGATAATTGCATTAATGAGAAATTGAACAGGTGTTCCTAATAATCCTTTAGGTGAGTGTATATACGTTGTTTTTTTGTGTGTGTTTTTTTGTGGTTTTTGGATATTTGAATCGAAAACATCTTACATGTACACATTTCCCCCGGTTGCTCTGCTCCTGGGAGTTCAGGAGAGAGTTTGCCAGGACGAGGTTCATCTGCTATAGCCAGCCCAAGTATTGTTCTCAGACCTGATGTCTCTCCTAGATGGCACTATTTATCACCCCTGACTGGAGATACAAATCTCCATCTGTGGGTTTGCCCCTGAAGGGACCAAATCTTGAACTCTGGTCTCTCGACCAAGGTTGTTGAGACCATTCTAAACTCTACAGCCCTCTACCTCCCCTCCATGAGGAAACTGTATGCATTGAAGTGGAGTCATTCAAGAGTTTCAACCTGAGATTTGTCCATTGGAGGGTTTGTCTATGGCACCATTTGAGCCTTTTGAGACAGCTTCAGAGAAATGTCTGACTCCTCTTAATATGGCTTTCTTACTTGCAATTACTTCACTGAAAAGGTTAGGAGATCTGCAGGCCCTGTCTGTTGCTTCCTGCTGCCTAGAGTTTGCTCAAAAAGCTTTTCTTTACCCTAGACCGGGTTATGTGCCTAAAGTGCCTACAAATGCAGCACACTATTGTTTTGCAGGCTTTTTGTCCTCCTCCTTTTCAGATGGAGGACCAAGAGAAGCTCAATTTGCTTTGCACTTAATTGTTACATCCACTGCTCATCCCAATTGTTGGTCTGATTTGGTTCACCCACGTTTGTGATGCGGTACGCTGGTCCTCTCCACATGCCTTCATCAGATTTTATAGCCAGGATATAGAGTCCACGGCAGGATCTCAAATGCTTGTGACTTACATTTGTGCTCATTATGATTCACACTTGGACAGGCATTTGTTCAGTATGGCGTAGTGGGTATGAACATTCCCTTTGCGTCAACATTCTGATGCAGCGCTGAGTTCCCTCAAAAGGAAGCGTCTCAGTTACAATTGTAGAAGGGAACAAGACACTGTGTTGTTTTGCCATAATTTCCTGCATACCTGAGAGCGATTTACTTTAGCCAATACTTGACGGTGCACCGTCATCCGTCACGGGACGATGTCTCGCCAATGAGATTGGAGTGATTTCACACGTGCTTCAGATGCAGTTAGGCAGAAGTGTTCCCATAGCATCAACATTCTGATGCAGAGCTGAGTTCCCTTCTCAGGGAACCAGGGTTACAGTCGTAACGAGATGTTTTAACGTTATCATATCATGAGTAGTAATTTATCGTATGCATTGATCTGAAGTCTCAGTGGAGGAACTTGTAGTTTTCAAGAGCACAACGGTGATTGTTCTTCAATCCCCCCTTGTGGAGATCAAACCTACAATCAGGTCTTTAACCACTAAGCCACACCACCATCATAAAAAGCAACAAAACGATAATAAAATTTATCGGGCACAACTGCCTTAGTTCTGTGTGTGGTTTTTTATGCATTTTAAAGAGTGAATTCTTGATTACCTGAACTCGTTTATGCATGTGTGGCATTTTCCATTGCTGGCTATTTTCCACTGGATCTTGGGAAGCCAGCTCGTTCTTAATAATTCATTGGTTTGGCTCAGTAGGGCAAACCAGTCTTAAATGGTATAGTCTTACAGTGTGTGTGTGTTTGTGTGTGTGTGTGTGTACAGAAACCAGACTATTGCAAAACAGAGGAGAGAAGAAAATACATTTCACAACTGACAGTTTAAACAGGAGAATGCATGAGGTGAGACCAGACGAGAGGAGAGGAGAACACAGAGGTCTTATACTGGAATGAAAGTTCAGCGTGAGACTGAGGAAAGAGAAATAAACCATTGAGAGGGCAGAGAAGAGTGAGTGATGAACTATAGAGGAGAGGAGAGAGGGCTTAATAAACGATAGGCATGTTATTAATGGCTGGTCTCCTGCAGCGAGCAGATATTTTTGTTCGCCAGTATGGTGATCACTGGACCGAAAGAAACCTCATCATAACCTGATAAACAATCTACCATTCTTTTTCAGTTCTGTGCAAAACGTACAGATAAACCTCATATAAAAAAAGAAAGCACATAAAAGGCCTTCTTTAAACCAGGCGTTTGTGAAAAATGTGCATTTGCATTAAAAAAGCACAATACTTCAACCAAAGCTAATGTTAAGCAGCTTAAAGTTCAGCTTAATGTTTTAGAGTCCCTCCTACATTTAAATGTATCAAGAAAAATGTAATTGTAATGTGCATTACAATAAAATACATGGCGTTGTAGATCAATAATGATAATACTAATGAAATGTTAAATGTACACTACCGTTCAAAAGTTTGGGGTCGGTAAGATTTTTTTATTAATACTTTTATTCAGCAAGGATGCTTTCAATTGATTAAAAGTGTCAGCAGAGACATTTAAGATGTATATTTCAAATAAATGCTGTTTATCAAAAGAATCCTGAAAAAAATGCATCATGGTTTCCACAAAAAGAATATTAAGCAGCACAACCGTTTTCGACATTAAAAAATGTTTCTTGAGCACCAAATGAGCAAATTCAGCTGTGCCATTACACAAATAAAATATATTTTCGGATATATTCAAATAAAAAAACTGTTATTTTAAGTTGTAATAATATTTCACAACATTACTGTTTTATTTACTGTATCTTTGATCAAATCACTTCACCCTTTGTGAATATAAGATTCTTCTTTCAAAAACATTACAAGTCTTACCCATCCCAAGTTTTTTAACAGTAAAGTAAATGCATTAGTACGTTATTACAGACTTATACAATACATTTTATATAACATAACGGGGTCTTCTGCTATGTCTCTGATGGGTCCTTGGCCTAAAAAAGGTTGTCAGCCCCTACTTTAAACAACTCCCCAAACAAGCACAAATCCTTATAATGAAACTACACTCTGAAATGGCTATGATTTGTCAACTACTTCTACACTAAATTATAGAGTAAACATGTTGCACCAATACTGACAAAATATAACCAAGGGCTTAAGAGATACTGTGAATGGCAGCAAACCACTGCTAAATAACAGCATGACTGGCATGACTCAGTGTTGCGTAAGAGGAAACTAAGTTCACCACGATGGTAAATATTTACTCTTGACAAGTCTCAGACCGCACTACTGATATATAACACTCAATAAAAATTGATTGATTGCTGAGTTTGTGAACTCAACATTTGAATGTTCTGGAACAAGGAGTGGCTACTGTGCATAAAATGTGCAAGATACTAAAACAAGTGCAAGAACAACAGCCTATACCAATCAAATTCAAGCAGCCTCAAATCTATGAAACGACAACAGCAACAGACAACGCTCCAGATAGCACATCCATCTGATGCTTCAATAGACACAGACTCTGCACATTCAGTGGAGACATGGACTGGTTTAGCGTAGGGAATACAAATCACAAGCAAAAAATAAGTTCTGAATTTTGACATACAAACAAAAAAAAAACTGTTATTTTAAAACAGAAATATTGAAAATATCTGGTCATTTTTCCTTAAATGAGTACATTTGTTTTCCCCCACGTAAAGGCATCCTTGCCAACTGTATCTACTGTACACTCTAAAAAATGCTAGGTTGTTTCAACCCAAATTTGGGTCAAATATGGACAAACCCAAATGTTGGGTTAAAAATGTAATTTAAAATTTTAACCCAACTTCAACTTTCAAGAGTGTATGAATAAATGACCGTTGTCAACCTGTCACACGGGAAGTAGAATGACAGGAAACACAGTCTGACAGGAATCTAGCAGATCAGGCTCAACAGCTTCTCGTGGGACAATACCTCTGACAGCAAATTATTACAACTTCAGAGAACTGCATGTTTTCTTTATGCACTCTAAATAAGGTACTTTTTTGCCCACTAAAACACAGCAGCTGGTTAATGGCAGATTATTATTATTTATTTATTTATTTTACTGAAAAACACTTGTATTTTTACTTATTATTTGGAGGAACATGCAAAGACAAAGAATCCTAGAATCCTAAGAACCATATATAAAACCCCAGTTCTCTTTGCATTCACACTGTCGCTGGCCAAGTGGATCTGTTTTTGATCAACATTAGTATCAATCACTTTAGCAGAATAAGATGTCTTACAGGCTACTAAGCGAAATTACCAACCAATTGACACAAAGTACCAACATTTGATGGCTGGTGGTGGGTGTGAATTTCACTCCCTGGGTGTAAACCGTCAAGCATGCGTCTCCACAAATGTTACAGCAAGAAGGAAAGTGACAGAAAAGATTATAGGTAGTGATGATTCATGTTCAAAATCACCTTAATATTTACTTCAAAACAGAACAGAAGCATACAGTTGAGTAAAAGAGAGTCATGAAGTTTGAAGAGAACTGAAAGAGGCGTATTTACCGTGAGGAGATGTTTCCCTGGAATGAGTAGCACAGAAAGAAGCAGAGAGAGGGAACAGATTACAGCCAGCTCTGTTTTTGCTGGGAGGGCGTTTGCAATTTACTCTGATTCTGTGACTCAGCCTTTGTGTGTGTGTATGTGTGTGTGTGTGTGTGTGTGTGTTCATACATGAAACTCTCTGTGCCTAACGAGTCCAAAGCTCTGTAATAGTTTCCATCCCATACTCACATACTTATACACACACATGCACAGCTGGAAATAATAGAAAGTCCCATGCAGGCTGAGGAGAAACACCCTCTTGTGTGTTAAAATCAAAAGAACAAATGAGTGCATTTCCCTTCCCACACACACAGACGGCATGTTTGATCTGCAAATACATCAGCTCATTGTTCACTTGAGGACAGAAAATCACTTTCTCTCTCTCTCTGACATGCTATTATCTCATGCCTTCATGTATTTTCTGTCATTCACCCGAACACAGCCTTGGGGCTTCCTTTATTCCAGTCATACTGTCAGTGCCTGAGTAATACTAATAATGCAAACCATGTCAATTGAAGATGTGCCCATGAAATGAAACAATCAAATAACATCACGATGTCCTTCTAGTTCAGCCACGCAACATGCTTTCTAACTATTTCCACAGGCAATGAAGTTTAGTGACCACATATGTCCATTAAATTAGAGGATACTAAAACTACTGGGCTGACCGGCTAAAATGAGCCACTCTATATTAACATCGACCTAAAAAACACATTTCAAATTACTGTCTTGCATAAAGAGAACATCTTGACATGCTTTCTTTGAAGTGGCAATGTTCAATTCATGAATGAGTCAGATCTTTGCATTGAATTGTGTAAAAATCACTAGACTCAATAATCCATTCGCAGTTGGAAGATTATCAGTAAAGATCTTAAATTTCAGTGTTATTCATTTACTTATGAAGGTAAACAATGACAGAATTTTTATATTTGTTGAACAATTCCATTTGGATGTAAAAACAGTTCCACTAGTAATACTGTTTCAAACCCTGATATACACAAAATGAGTAATTACCATAAGTGATGTTAAAACATGCCTCTTTTGAGGAGCTAGTTTTGTAAAAATCTGGATAGAGCTGAGGTTAACAGTAAAATTGAGCATAAACTGTAAAACAATGACAGCTTTGCTTTTTATTCTGAGAACTTGTTGGAAGTAATTCTTTGGAAACTAATTCTTACACACAGTGACTCATTTAAAATACTGTAACATCATGTAACACACTACTGAAGAACCCTTTATCACCGTCTTATTTCAGGTAAAGGCGGTTTAAAGTGGATGAGATCATTCGTCCCTATTTACCTAAACCACCTTCCTTTCCTTATGTCTCTGATATCTCACAACAGTATATAATGAGTGGTTGAATGAGTCACAAAAAGACATTCAAGTTGGGAAATTACTGCAACTATATATGCTTTTGAATGGTAGTTTACAGTATATCAACCATTGTAAGACATTCAGGCCAAAGACACTGGAGGTACTGTTTTGTAGTGAGCCAAGGACACCTACCGTGCTGCACGTCTGCTGATGATGAGGATGTTTGTTTTCTTCATCAAGCTGAGCAGCCTTTAAGTGCAATCTTCAGTTCACTCAGAGACATTCTCGATCCCCCCACTCGGCTTTGACTCAATGGCTTAGTAAGCCCTCCCTCACTTCTTTTCTTCTTCCTCAAGCTCTGTTCTGCCATCCAAAATAAATATTTAACAGTCAGACAACGTGATCAACAACCAAAGGTCACATCCTACTCACTACGCCATTCTCCTCCCCCTCATTTTTTTATGAATTTCCCACTCGTATAATTCGATTTCTGGGGTGTTACTGTAACTGTAATTTAATGCTAATAACCAATTCATTGGACTCAATGCCCACTGCAGAAGCCAACTGGAACAAGTTATAGAGGGGTGCATGTATGACATCAGAACCCAGAAGACTGATTGGCCGCTGGCTCCTTTGAGATTTTCCTATGGGGTTTCATAATGGGTTTTTTCGGTTTATGTGTAAAATAAAGCCTGTGGTAAACATAAACATTTTGTTCTACAATGTAAATTTACACACACCCATAGTGAAAACGCAATTTTGATGCATTTTTGAAAACGTACTTTTTTTTTAATAAGTAAACCGATTAGACAGCTTGGGGAGTGAGTGTGTGCAGTGTACTGTGGTAGAACAAAACGTCAAAGTATCTTCAAGTTATGTTTACCACAGGCTTTAGTTTACTCATACATTTTTAAAAAAAAAATTATAAAAAACAATAGGAAAATCTCAAAGGAATCAGCAGCAAATAAGTTAGTCTTCCTGGTTCATACCTCCACCACTCTATAAAAGAAAAAGTACAAAAGATTTCCATTAGAATTAAGTAAATATTTCCACTTCATTTAAGGCCACTGTACTAAAGACCCTCTGTGAATTTCAGATTCATTCTGATGATCTGATGTACCCAACAGAGATAGCAGGACGGACCGTAACACTTCTGTCACAACTGCATTTCTTGACATAAAAAAATCTTGGCTGCAAAAAACCTATTGAACACTTCTTCCATTATTGCCCAGTAAAAACACATAGTTCATTGAACATGTACTAATATTTTAATTTAGCAAAGACATTTTCCAATTGTGGGGCATGTTGTTGTGACACTGTAAGTTGTCACTATGACACAATGGCCATTAAACAACCTATTTTAAAGTTTTTTCTGCTATACATGCGCAGTAAAAATGGAAACACAAAAATATTCCAAGGTAACAAATGGTTATAACAATTGATGAGCCAAAATATTATGACCAGTCACAGGTCAACGAATATGGTTGATCACCTCCTAACAACAAGGTCACGTCAATTTCTGGGTAGATGGTAAACAAACAATCAGTTCTCGAAACCAATGCGTTGGATGCAGGAGAAATGGGCAGAAATAAAGACGTGAGCGACTTTGACAAGGGCCGAATTGTTATGGCAAGGCGACTGGGTCAGAGTATCTCTGAAATGGCAAGGCTTGTGGGTTGCTCTCGATCAGTGCTGAGAATTTACCAACAGTGGTCTGAGGAAGGACAAACCACAAACCAGTGAGAGGGTGTTGGGCCCCCAAGGCTCATCGATGCATGAGGACAACAAATGCTATCCTGTCTGGTCCGAGCCAACAGAATGTCTACTGTGGCACAAGTCACAGACCAATCAGAGTGTCCATGATGGTCCCTGTCCACCATCAAAAGTGCCTACAATGAGCGTCAGAACTGCACCTTGGAGCAGTGGAAGAAGGTCATGTGGTCCAATGAGTCCCATTTTCTTTTACATCACGTGGAGGGCCATGTATGTGGCCCTTCCATTCACCTGGGGAAGGGCACCAGGATGCACTGTGGGACGACGACAAGCCGATGGAGTGAGTGTGATGCTCTGGCCAATGTTCCGCTCGGAAACCCTAGGTCCGGCCATTCATGTGGAAGTAAATTTGACACATCCCACCTACCTAAACATTGTTCCAGATCAGGTACACCCCTTCATGACAAGGGTGTTCCCTGGTGGAAGTGGCCTCTTTCAGCGGGATAATGCCCCCTGCCACACTGCACACATTGTTCAGGAATGGTTTGAGGAACATGATGAAGAGTTCAAGGTGTTACCCTGGCCTCCAAATTCCCCAGATCTCAATCCAATTAAGCATCTTTGGGATGTGCTGGACCAACAAGTTCGATCCACAGCGGCTGCGCATCGCAACCTAGAGGACTTGAAGGATATGCTGCCAAGGTCTTGGTACCAGATACAAAGACACCTACAGGGTCTAGTAGAGTCCATGCCTCGGCGGGTAGGAACTGTTTTGGTGGAACTGTAGCATGGTGGAGCACAAACAGCATATTTGGTGGTCATAATGTTTTGGCTCATCTATGTATATATATATATATATATATATATATATATATATATATATATATATATATATATATATATATATATATATATATATATATATGTATACACACACACACACCGGCCACTTTAATGGTACACCTGTTCAACTGCTTGTTAAGGCAAACATTTAAAAAATTATATTATATAAATTAAAAATACGGATTCTAAAACCCTTACGGACACTTAAAAAGTGTGAACATGTCCTACATAAGCAAGATATAATTAGTTAAATTATATAAATTTGGTTATATTTCTTCCGACAAATATATGCCTCAGTTTATTGGTTTATACCATTTGCCCGAATGAATGAAAATGTACATGCATTTCAAATACATAAACCTTTAATAGGCCTAAACATTTGTGGGGAAAGTCGTGCCCTGAGAACACACTTTTAATCTTTGACAAAAAAAAGTTTGACAATTTCAATTTTTCAGGTATAACACAGGTCAGTGTGGTTTTATTGACTTCACTTTTAACCTAACAGCTAAAAGGAAAATATGATTTTAGGAATTTTAGTTCGAAGGACATGATTCACAAATATTATTCTAATTTAAGAGCGTTTTGAACTAGATGTTTGGAAACAATAAACTAACTATTAAGCACAGGTTTGTCAAATAAGACTTTTGCCAAAAACGTATAGACCTTGTTTAAACTTCCCAATGTCAACCTATGATGTCAACCACCCCCGGTACTACCGTATTTTGATTGGTTGAAATGTCATGCATCACAATGTTGAAAACGTAGATTTATATCATCAAAACCAGCTTCATCCTCATGTTCAGCATTCCTTCATATTCATTCAAATTAAAAGAACACTATAGTGTTAACTTATAGACTTTAATATAGAACAGCCAGCAAACATGCAAACAAACGAAACCAAATATATCACGTTCTCTTATTAGTAACGTTAGCTACACACTGCATTTCTCACGCCCAAATCCGTAATTCCTCTTCCCCACCCTTCCTGACTATTTTAAAGGAAAAAGCTCACCCCCTTTTAAATGTAGACTTCTTCTGCAGCACTGAGCCTTACATATTAAATGTTGAACATGAGCGTCGTTAAGAATTAGAAGAATTAGGATTAGAATCAAAACTTAATCAAACTTTTGTCTGTTTCTTCTGTTGTTGGGAGTTTTTGTTTTCCTTCACAATACTGACACCTGGCGGAAATGTTCAAGTAGTGCAAGACGCTACGCTTTGTGAGGTGGCGAATAAATGAGCATAAAAAGTAATAAAAAATGCATAAAATGCATTTAATACAAAATTAAAAACATTGTTCATATTACATACATACATATTTACAATACATACATATATATTTAAATCATATTACATACATATTTACATAATAGATTAAGAATAATCTGATATTTTCACAAATACGGTATATTATCTTCATAAATAATCAGAATGTAAAATAATTTACAAATGAGAAATAGTGCAACTAGAGAGGATAAAAAAATAAACATTTGCACAGTGCAATGATAGATTTGTACATTAAAGCAATTCTGAAATGAATTGTACAAAATACATTCAACAAACAGGCCATATGGCCACCAGTTTAAACAGGATGAAAACTAGTCATATGGTTTGAAGGAACCCATGGGACGACGACACAGAGGACAGGTCCCAAACGTCATGTAAACCCTCATGCTGCACGGAGTACAAACACATTTATGACCGCAGCTCAAACGAATGTTTGCCACATCACTGTAACACACTACACATTCCTCACAGTCGGGAGTTTCATGATCTGAGGGGGGAAAGAGAAGAGGTTACAAGCTGAAACTAAATGTACTCGACCATACAATGACTGTCATGCACTTATGGGATTCTTACCTGTGTTGACAAGATAAGGGTTTTTCAGGTTTCTCTGCTCCAGCGTGCTCATTTGTTCCTTCTTTCTTTTTATTTCTTTATCTTCAGTGTGTTTGATGTGTGTGAGAGCAGGACAGGACCTCCTGGTGAAGATGCAACATCTCTTTTTGGAACCTATAACGCAGATACACAGACCACATACACTGTTAGGCAGGGGGGAAAAATAATATATTTATGTTCCTGGTTTGCTTAAGCCTCGGGGCCGCAAGGGTTCTTTGAAATCTTGAAAGAAAGAAAAAGATTTTACTAAATGTATTTTTAGAGCGGTCAAAGTTAACACGTGAAATACTAATGAAATTGTATATATATATATATATATATATATATATATATATATATATATATATGTGTGTGTGTGTGTGTGTGTGTGTGTGCCATATTTATATATATCAATATTATTAACAATTCTAATCATTATTATATCTTTAATATTATTCATTTAATATTATATTAAGCTTTCTAAAGACCAGTCAAAAATCAATATATTAATTGTGATTATTTTGTTCTTCTGTATGTTAATCTCAAATATGATGCACCTTAAACAGTAGGCCTACATATTTGTAGATTATTTTTCACAATTTTAATATACAAACCAATTATTTAATTTAGGATTTTTTTTTTTTTTTTTTTTTTAAATGGGTAGCATGCCATCACATTTTAGGAAAGGGCCATTCTAGCCGATCATATTTGGCAGTAACGTTACTCCTTGGCATTAAAAATAAAAAATAAAAAAATCAATAAAAAACTGGCTCTTTCTAACAGAAAAGTATTATGGCGGTGCGATGATGTAAATGTGGTATATGCCACAGTAATTCCAAAAATATAGCACAAAAATAACCTGCTTTTTTCAACCACAACAAAATAACTTTTTTATGCTCTCAGAACACAAATATGAGACATCAGATCAGAAGCCTCACCAAGCATCACCACTGACGTGGTCTGTCCATAGATGTCCATCATCGCCCAGACGGGCCACTTGGCGTTCAGAGAGGTTTGCTCTGTGTGTGTTCTGCCATCAGAATTCCGTATGCGCAGACAGCCGTTCTTCTTCAACCAGAACTGAATCTCTGAGCCAGGGCGACAAATGCCCACGGGAACCACCACCGCCGCGAACAGTGGAGAGTGGGTCAAGTCTGGGATGGCCAGAGGGGGTAAAGTTGTCTGATCGGGTAAAACATGAGTAAATCCGACCCGCAGTGCTCCGTGCCAACGTCGCACGCAGTGCTCGACTCTCAGGCGCACTTTCTCCTGTATCTTCACCTGTCGCCCGCTGAACGTCAGTCCGTGGCAGAATGACGAACCGTCCCTGGTCACGCGATGACCCCCGTCACTCAGCGTTATCAGAGGACCCTTCACTTCTGAGTGGAAACAAATCGCTCTCAGGCTCCCGTGCGCGTGACACACGCACTTCACTTTCTCTGGAAAAGAAATAAAGAGTTTGTTATTTGAAATTCATACGTGACCACGCGGTGTATTGTGGACAGTTCTGATATGCTTCTTCTGTCTTTTTTGCAACTTGTGTTTTCTCGGGACTTTCCAGTAGCCTACCCTAATAGCCTAGTTCTTTTGAACATAATCAACCGGTTGAGAAAAGCGGTTCGAACGAATCGTCCAAAGATCGGACTCGAGCGTTTCTCGAGTCAATTCTCACTTAACCGAGAATTTATTTGAAATAGGCTGTAGGGTGAATTCGGGTCGATTTGGAATATTTTCCCAGTAATCCCAATGGCAAAAAAAAAAAAAAAATGTCCCAATCACCATTTAGGACGACGACAGATTGATTTTTTTTTTATCTAACAGCACACACCACACACATACACTCTCTTCGCAGAGAGATTAAATTTAAGTTCAGTATTGTAACTGCAAATTCTAATTAACAATCATGTCTTCAACAACCTGAAGTCACATGAAATGAAAATAAACACCCTTATTGAAGCTTAAAAACGCAATACATGTAGGCTACAGCATAAAAAAGTCACTTTCGGAATAAATGTAGTTTGCACAAGAATTTAACTGGTTCTTTGTTCTGTTCAAAAGAACCGATTCGCAAACTTAGTCGTACCGGCTGTTCAACTTACTGACGGCAATAGCGCTTTACAGCCACTAGAGGCCGCAGCTGCTCAACTGTCAAAATCACAGTTTTGGAAAGTTTCGTATCAAGCATTACATTAAGCACATTATTATCGAACTCGGATTCTCCAATGCTGCACGGTAAATAATAATTTCATATTATTGACGCATAATACTCATTTATAATTTATTTATTTATTGCCATGTTTATTGTATAAATTACTGTAAATTAATTGGTTGGTTAACGTTTTTAAAAAAAAAAAATCATTCACATTTAGAGATGCTAATTTAAAAAAAAAAAAAAAAAAAACAGAACTATAAGCTTGACATTCATAAAGTGATATAGTTGAAAAGTTACAATTTGGTTCTAGTGTCATCTTCTTACCTTTCTTTTTCTCTGTCATCCTGTTTTCTTAAGCAGCTCTTGGTATCTTCTGTATAGGCTACATTAGTTTCTATTTCTTAGTACATGGGACATTTGTAGCTTTCTAACTGCATGTGTTGTGTTTTGCACCTAAACACGAGGATACAATTGGATGGAGAGACTAGGGGCGGAGCTCTGGAAAGTTTCCTTTGAGAATGACTCATAACATGTCATGACGGCATTAACTGCTCGGTAACTTTTAAATTAGTAATCTATTCGTTTTTTGTACGTATTAACTGGTCAGCAAAATAAAGTATTTGGGTAGTTTATTTATTTTGTCTAATAGTAATGCATAACATAATTTGGCTTTTTGGTCATAATTTGACTAAATTTTACAGCTTTACTGGGGGAACAGGAGTGTATAAATCTGAATAGCTTTGGATGAAAAGCGAATAAAGAGGCTCATCAAATTGGAATAATTAACTGTGCTGTTTGCCCTACTGTCCATGGCTATTCTGCCTGTAGTTGACTTTCAACTTCTAGTGAGTATAAATGAGAAAAACAGACAATATTGCATTTTGGTTTTGGCTCAATTACACAAGTAACTTACACATCTCTGCTACAAATGAACACTTAAAGTTTTTTTTTTTTTTTCGTACAGTTGCACTGAAAGTGACAGGTGTGCAAATGTTACAATTTACCCCATATGCGGGGTTAATTGTAACAGACAGAGGGGTTAGTTGTAACACTTGTGTGTAACACACATAATTCAGTAGGCCTACTATCTGTATAGTTTGATATTGTTTGTACACCTATAGACAGATATCCATACATCCATCCCTCATCCAATCATCCTTCTATTATGGATCAATATCATGGATAGAGATATATGAAAGGGCTGCACAGTTTTCCAATAAATAAATAAATAAAAATATTGTAATTGCTTTTGAATTATATTTGTGTGTGGCAGCGGCATGCAAAATCATTATTATTAATAATAAAAAAGAGCTCAAAATCACATTTTGAAGGGTTGATTGCATGTAAAACAGGCTTTTTAATAAATAAACAAGTGATCAATGCATAGTAAACAAATGTGAGAAAAAAAACATACTTTGACATTTAAATTCCAACATTGTTTGTGAAAGTCCAACAAAGTTAAATGTGGCAAAATAAATATATAAATAAATACTCAAACTTGTGTGGCAAAAGTTGTGTGGCTCCCTGTTTTCATTTGATTATCATTGTACACTTGGCGGCTTAGTTGTAACACTGTTACATTTTCACGTTTAAAGAGTGGGAAATCATCAGATAGATTATAAGATATTTTACAACGTTTGTTCAGAATACATCAAACAAGAACAGTTATTTCATTTGTAATACCCGCTCATATAGTAGGAGAAGTTTAATATTGCATTTAAATATCTCAAAGACACATTAATGGATAGGATTTAAGATGTACGTGTTTGTTGGTTCCCTTTTTCTTTCTTTTTCTCTCTTTTTATTTTTTTATTTAGTAGTTTTCCCTCAAAGTCAATAGTAGGTGGCGGAATATGCACCAAAAGCTGGTTTGCCAACCGCCACAAAACGTCAAAGAAGAAGAAGAAGAAGAAGAAGAAGAATTATGCAGCTTGATTGGAAATGCATTCTATAAAGTGATATTTATTTGTCTGTTTTCTCCACACATCACGTCTCACATCTTATTAATTTTATGTTTAAAAGCATAACTCGATAAATTAGTGTAAATTATTCACTTTTGCCATTCAGCCATTTCAATGAGCCATTTGTGTATAATTCAAGCTGTTTCCTCAAATGTACTGGATCAAGAGCACTTTAATTTTGGTTTTACTCTTTGGTGGGTTTAAAGCCAAAGATCTTTGCAAAGAAGAAGTCGTCAACATATTCAGAACACAGTAGTAATTTACTTTCACTTAGAGTGTTTGAGTCAAGGTTACTATGTTTATGATGATAACCTATCAGTTAGTCATTCAATCATTCATTCATCTCATGACAACAACCATTTGTTTCATTTATAATTATTTCAAAGTAAATGTGGAAATGAATTAAATCTAGAAATGTGTGTGTGTGTGTGTGTGCGTGCGTGCGTGCGCGCGTGCGCGAGTGCGTGTGTGTGTGTGTGTGTGTGTGTGTGTGTGTGTGTGTGTGTGTGTGTGTGTGTGTGTGTGTGTGTGTGTGCAAGGTGTGGAGCCACACCTAACTTGACCAGTCAAAAAGAAACCTAAATATTGTGGTGAAATTGATAAGCACGTTCTATGCACACTCATAAAAAGCATGATTTCCTGTATTTAGTAGGCTATAGTGCGATCATTAACAGTGAACATAGCATGCTATTAAACAGACAACGTGCACCACAAAATATATACTCTTTAATTTGAAGGAGGCATGAGAAAGAATTTTCATCCAATACTCTTATCATTCTCATAGTTGAGTCTGTTTTGAGCATTTGGTTCACATGACCGCCCATGCATGGAGCTGAACATTCTGACTTTGTGGAAAGTTCATATTAATCTTACTATTCTTGAGCAAAAAAAGCAATACAGCTGCTAATATTAATTGTGAACATTGTCTCAAGATGCTGAAAACGAAAATTAAGTTATACAGTATATTGTTCAGGCTGTTATGTGCCACATTTTGAAACGTCTGTATCCCCGGAGATACGTTGCCAGATTAGGGTAAGAAAAAAGTTAATCCACAATTTTGACAATCAGTGGCATCGCCATTAACTGGCCCCCAGTTTATTGCATTATTGGTTATTGGGTGGGGGGTTGTAATGGGGATGATCTGGGAATTACCTGGAAAAATCATTGCCAAGAACAATCATGGTCAGTCTCTCACGTATGGCAAGAGATGGCCATTGAATGACTAAGAGTCGGATACGACTGAAATGGGAATAGATAGATGTGTTGCTGACTACTGTTGCACCAGTTTACTTTCAATTTTACTCATTTGTTTTTGTGTTTCATTCTTGTCTTTTTGTAATTCAATAAACTTTTTGTAATTTCTTGACTGTGAATGCAGAAATTAACAAATACACTGGACAAGAAATGTGTATAACTCGAAATTTGTTTTCTAAAAGTAGGAATATTTCCTGGATCAAGGCCACTTTAGCATGTGTTTTGCTCTGGTTTAAAGTTCAAGAGCTTTGCAAAGCAGTCAACAACATATTCAGAAAACACAGTAGTATTTCACTTTCATTTTGAGGGTTTACGTTTACTATATTTAAGACACCTACAGGGTCTAGAGTCCATGCCTCGGCGGGCCGGAGCTGTTTTAGCAGCAGGTGGAGCACAAATATTAGGTGGGTGGTCATAATGTTTTGCGCTCTTCTATATATATATATATATATATATATATATATATATATATATATATATATATATATGTATAGGGCCTCAGACTATCTTTTTGACACACCTGCCAATGGCCCGTGACTTAAGAAAATTTACCGGCCATAAATGTTTTTTACCGGCCATGATTTTCGGCAAAAACAGGCAGTTATGACACCAAAACTGCAGTGAAAATGTACAATTTCAATAGCACATCTAAACCGAACCTAACTCAACTACCGGTAATATAAATGTAAACCATTATTAAAGACAATTAACAGTAGTTTTCAGGTAGACACTGAATAAAGTAATCAAATACAAAATAAATAATACTGGACAGTCTTCACTGTATGAATTTACAGATTAATCCATATTAAAGTTACTAAAGTTTTTCAGTCAAGAGCAGTGAGTGATTTTTTTTTTCATTGTCTTTTGTTGTTTGAATAACATTAAAAACAAAGACTGCAGCAGAAATATAAGGCTGCTGTCACTTTAAGACCTAATGCACGGATCCAATATACACAACCATGTTGTTTCTTCTACTTTTTAAGGGTTAATGACACACCTTTCTACTTTAGTGTTTTTTAATCTCTACGATTGCCATTTTCAGTCTTGGTTAATGCACCTAGGAATCATCTAGGGGAGTCAATTTCCTCTAGCCTGGGAAAACCCAAACAACCTCCGGCAAATTTAGATTTGCTCTGAAAGTTAGTCTGGCAAAGAGCTCATTCAAGCCCATTTCCAATCCGTCGAAATCGAGGCACCAATCAGAAACGTTGGGGCGGGCTTTACACGATGACGACAGCGCTGGGATTTTGAAGCAGATTTTGTAGCCTACATTACAAAGATGGATGCCACCGTCGAACAGCACTCGTTCGAATCAGCTATCGCGTCTGTTTTAAGCGATTTGAACGTTTCCTTTTAGTTAAAAACCGAGCAAAGAACAACACTCGGAGATGTTTCTCCACCGCTCTGCATACGTCATCTCCTTCATCGCTCTGATTGGGTTTAGGTCTATCCGCGACGTCCGTTGGTGACGCCCCTCTGGAAATGATTTGTCTATGACGCTTTGCCAGACCATAACTCTGTTACAACTGAGAATGGTCTGGTTTTAACCAGGCTAAATTTCCTCAGGCAGGCACATTTAAACCACCACACATAAAGTACATGGCCTACAGTCAAAACCTTATTTTAGATACACCGTTTTCTAACAGGTGCATAAAACCAAGTACAGTCTTGCACATGGACATACATGTGAAGTAGAGTGCATCTTGATATGATTGAGGGACATCACCCAAAATCAGACATCACTGATGCTCTTGTGTCTGAATGAGATCAAATCCTTGCAGCCTTTACAGAACAGTAGAAGCTGTTAGAACAGCAGAAGAGAAGAACAGCTCCCTATTAACATCCATCGTTTTTAAATTAAATGTTAAAAATGTTACTTTTGGCCACATCTATTTCCCAAAAACATTTCTGATTTAGCGCATTGTGAACTGAACTGACTTAGAGCTCACTTCAGGTCAAGGGTACGGCTGTCAATAAAACTACTGTGGATGATCTAATGATAAGTTTATCATTAACATAAGAACGCATCCATAAATCCACAGTAGTTTTATTGACAGCCTTTATAATTGAATTGACAGTCATTATAATGCGATAATGTTTTCGTAGAGAAAGCGAGCTATGTTTTTAAAATAACCTAACGAATGTATTGATATTGTCCATAAATACAATATCATGCTATTTATAATAGTTGAATTCATAGTTCATCTCTATGGTGTGAAGCTTATCACACCATAGAGCTTCATAGATATCTTATTAAAGTAATACTTGTGTGTGTGTGGGATGGGGTATTTTGTATTATGCATTTGGAAAGGATATTGTTTTAATTCACAAATTAATTTTCATATGAGTATGTGCTGTATTGAAATATTCAAAAAAATGTAGTGAACATTAATATGACTTCTGATTTTTGAACAGTCAAAATGCTCTGGTTTCAAATATGGTGCCAGAAAAAATGCTATTGTTTTATCCCACTTGATGTAGATGCATAGGTCCAACTATCCTTCCAGCTGTGTGATATGTTTATTAAATGCATTTTCTTTCCTGCCATAACTGTTTTTGATGAAGTTCAACCTGGAATAAAATATCATACAAGTTGAAGAGAACCATTCTCAATTTTCTCAAATTATAAAAGTCTTGACTTGTAAGCCTTGTGCAATTTGTTTCCTTATTCCTTCTTTCCTATTTTCCTTATTATGACCTTATTTTATCAGACATATAGAACTGCAACAGTTTCTCAAGTTGTCAGTATACCCTGCAAATAAAATATCATAATATTTTAATAATAATAATAATAATTAAAGCTGCTAGCAGCATTTAGCGGTGTTCAAGCAGTTAAGGCCTTTAAGGCCGTTAAGCACAAAAGCATCAAAAGACATTAAGTTGTAAGTAGCAAGCATTTAACCACTGACATCATAGATGGAATAGACAATGTTTTAGCATGATTTACCATGATATACCAAATTTAGTGTGATTTTTCATGATCTACCATGTTCCAGTATGATTTACCATGAATCTAGCATGATTTACCACAGTTTACCATGATTTACCATGAATCTAGCATGATTTACCACCGTTTACCATGATTTCCCATGTTATAGGATGATTTACCATGATATACCACATTCTAGAATGATTTACCAGGATTGAAGCATGATTTACCATGATTCATCACATTGCTAGCATGATTTGCCATGATACACCATGTAATAGTATTTTTTACTATGATTTACCATGTTTCTATCGTGATTTACCATGATTTCCCACATTGCTGCATTGATGTGAAGTGCCAATAAAAAAGAAGTGATAAACTGACAAAAAATTATTGTGTTATAATAGTTAACATGGAAAAACTGGTTTGCTTTAGTGCAGAATAATGGTGAAAATCAAGTGTGTCAAAATGAGAGTGAGCCAAGTGGTCTTCTGCTGCCCTCTGCTGGCCACTCTACTTATTAATAAAGTGTTTTCACAGGTGCTTTTGCACTGATATGTAGACATTTGCTCACACACACACACACACACACACACAAATTCATTATGAAAATATATTTTAATGGTCTATAAGCATTTCATGTCTTTGCAAGCTATTAATCAGATTATTCAGAATTTATTCAGAAACATGGGACTAAACACACACATTCTATTGTAGATTAAACTGTCTCATTCAGGGTTCACATTTGTCAATATGACAATGAATTTTGACTAAACGTGAGTGTAAATGTTAAAATAGTGATTTTATAAAGTCTAAATAAGAATTATAGAATAATATTAGTTAGTAGCATGACAAAATGACTATTTTAAACAGCAGGGGGCAGTATAATACCACTTATTGGCTTAATATGCCTTTGTTCATATCATTTTCAACTTTTTTAATTGTTATAGAGGCATATTTTGTCCGATCTGTCTGAAATTTTTCATGTTTGTTCAGAGTCATGTGTCACATGTTCTGACTTGATTTGAAGAAGATCTGAGCAATCATTGAAGAGATATAGGCGTTTGGGGACACTTGGTCAAGGCTACATATTGAAGTGACCCTATTATAGCCATCCAAATGAAGAAGTTATACCTTTTCTGATATTTATTGATCTAGAGAGTCCAGAGAATTGTAATGCACTGGTTTAGAACATTATGATATGAATATTATATGATCATAGATGGAAAAGACCATTCACAGCCAATACAGGCAATTTACCTATTAGGAAATGAATGGTTTTAAAGCTTTTGAACAGTTATAGCGCCACCTATTGTCCGATCTTCATGAAACTGTGCATGCTTCTTTTCCATGTTATGACACATATGCTCATCAATTTTTGTCAAGTTCTGAGTTTTCATTTATGATTTATAGGCTTTTGAGTGTATTTTGTCACGCCCCTTTTCTAAATGACCCTGTTATAGCAAACTAAAGGGCAAAGTTCAACTTTTTTTTGATAATTATTAATCTAGAGAGTCCAGAGAATTGTCCTAGACTGGTCTGGTTCCGATCGACTAGTTCGCAAAAGTAGGTTTTGGACAAAATTGGCCATAACAATTTTTTTTTTGCTCAAATCGAGAATCCGAGATATACATCTTGTCCGTCTTGAGCCAAGGAACACAGTGGTGTGCAAATCTTGATTCTAGGTCAAACTTAGTACTTTTGGTTATAGGCAACTTAGTACTTTTGGTTGCTGTAGCGCCACCTATGGGCCAATCGGGGTCATACTCTGATAGGTTCTCCCCAAACTGAGGCCCTACCAACTGGCCAGGTTTCAAGTCTCTAGGTCTTACGGTTTGGGCTGCACGATGCGTTTTAGGTTTTTTTTTTTTTTTTTCAAATAGCAATTACAATAGGTTTTCAGCACTTTGTGCTTGAACACCTAATAATAGATTATATGGAGCCCATGTAGCCTAAGTGAACGGATTCATAATTCATCTGTAACAGTCTGGGAATTTCAAAGGTACAGTTCAGAAGATGGTTATGTCTGCTATTTCATCCTGTTGGAAATTTACTAGGCTAAAGGACACCTGGAGTGTGCGTTCCCTGAAGCCAACTGGTCGCAGGTTCCATCTTTACCAACACAATCATTCAACGGAACTTGCGACCGTTGGCTAACGATGCTTTTGGGAAACGCACACCTGACCTTGTCAGTTGGTCCCTGACTCTGTTGCCCTCCTACATCTATATTCTATATTATGGCTTATATTTACATTTTCAGAATGTATTTATGTTAAACAATATATTTTTAATTCAACTTTACTTATTTATTATAAACTGCACGTTTGAATCAATTCCTTAATGACAAGTCACTAATTGTTTTATTTCCATGGGTTTAACCGAGGAACAAGTTTACAACGAGCTCAAAAGATGATGTCACTCACTGGGCATTTCAAGGAAATCACGAGACAGTTGATCTTATTTGTTTGACTTTTATCATGTGAGTAGTGAAAGTGTGGAAACGGTCTTCTGGGAGTAAATAGTTTGCAACGAATCCAGTATTTTTCCTACAGCTTGAGCCACAGTGGGCTTGGCACTTCTGAGCATCTGGAGTGGTCATGGCCTGGAGGAGGAGTCTGCAATGGACAACTTGGTTCATTTAAACCAACCACATTATAGCCTTGACAGTACTGTTTGCGGATACTACAGTAGTGAATGTATTGCTGTTGCTATGGATCAAATGGGGATTATTTTACCTGGGGGGAAATGCGCGTGCACGCAGATATTTTTACCTTGTGCCGGTTGTATAAACCAGTCCAGCAGATGTTAGACGGCGACAGATTGGTCACGTGCGAAATTACATTGTATTCTATTCTTGCCAGTTGCCATTATTCTGTTTTGAAGTCCTCACATTGAAGCGGAAACACTGCATACATTTATATTTTATAATAATTCTGGGGTGGCAATGGTTTTTCTGAGGAGGCAGTCCGAGGAGCCTATCCGAATAGAATAGAATAGAATCCTCTCCTCCACAGCTGACAGATCAAAGACCACATGGGGGGCTTGTCCTGAAGCTAAATATGATCGCAAGTTCCATCGATATCAACACAATTCAACCTAACTTGTAACCATAGTTGGGTAACGATGCTTTTGTGAAACTGCATTGTTACTGCATTTGGCATCTTAAACTGGTTTACAGAATGATGATTGGCAGGTTCTCTTTAATCTGCAAACAGAACATTTAAGTATGCAGTGAATTAAAAGAAAGCTATAGGCTAGAATATTAAAATAAATATTAAAGAGGAAGATGTTTTGACATGTGCAGGTTTTCTGCAATTTGTCGAGACATTGTTTTACTCTACTTTAAATATTTTTATAGACCTAATTGTTCCAAATCGCCATTGTATGAAATCACAGTTGATTCGCTGAATTGCTGTTGTTTATCAGTCCTCCCCACCAAACCAGAGAAATAAACACTCAATTTGTTTCTTTTTTTTAACAGTTTTTAAAGGCATGACTGACATTTGAGTTGCACTTTATTTTAAAGTACATGCACTTACAGTGTAAAGCCTAAGTGAATACATATATAATACATATATACATATAAATATATAATAAAAATAAACATAAGGTACTACAGGGGTTTAGGTTAGGTTTAGGAGTAGGTTCAGGGTTAGTACCTAGTTATTACCCAGTTATTGTAATTACAGTACATGGGGAACAGGGCTGTAAAATAAATGCAAACACGTAAAAAATAAACAGCATATACAAATAACTGTACATAAGTGCTTTATTTTCAAGTAATGAAATAGTAGCTTGTAAATAGTAATTATATATTTCGGATGTGAATGTTTCCATTAGAATATTGAACTACGTTTATGTCCTCCCAAATTCAGCTGAGTCTCGGATTGCTCTCAGAAGCATTCTGTAAAGTTCCACTTTATCTTTTACCACCCTGGGCAGGAACAATCGCATCATGCATGTGTTAGCATATGGCAGACGGCATCCACGCTCCTCTGGCTGGTAGAAGTGAATGCTGGGCTTCTGGGAGAACCCAAGCGGTGGGACTTCATCCGCTCCAGTTATGAAGGCCAAAATCTCCTCAAAATGCAACTCATTTTGTGGAGCTTTTTTATCTGTTAAGGGGGAAAATGACAAGCTCAAGTCTTAACAAATTGCCAATTACAAGCACAAGTATGCAATTACACAGTTTATTTTACAGTTATTTTGCTGACTAGGAAACTCACTCTCAATCATCTGAAGCACCAGTTCCCAGTAATGTAAAGTCTCCTCTTCAGCCGCCCTCTTCTTGGTCCCTGCTTTACTCCAGTGGATTTGGAACAGGGCTGTGAATGTGCTTCTGGAAATGGGCTCATGCATGTTGGTAAAGATGGGCAGAAACTCAACCCAGTGAGTTCTTACCATGTCCCAGAACTGTCCATAAGCATTCAGTCCCTTTGTGAACTGGTGAATCATATTTGATGTTCTGTGAAAATTAGAAGAGACTGTTAAATGACTATTCTTATATTTACGCAGTATCACACCACAAATATTATTAGATAATTATTTGTATAAATATACTAAACAGTGCTCTTGGAACGACCAGTCAAATTAGAGGACCGGAACTAACTTGTGTAAATGAGGGTTAAGGCTCTTTCGCATTGAATGCGCCGCGATAAAGTTAAGCGAATCGGCTACGAACGGAGCTTTCACACTGAACGTGAAACGATTGAATGCCTTCAGCTAATTCACGCCTGAGGGATAGGTGGCGCTTAATGAGAATTTTGTATGCTTTTGCAAGCCCTTCAGATCACATAATTCAGTGGGAAATTGATACAAATGATAATCTGGATTAAGAACATGTACGAATAAATCTGTTCTCAGACACCAATGATACAAGAACTCAACATCCATTCTATTCTCTTCTGGAATACTTTACTTCAGTGTTAACGCAGGTTTTCAAAACAGCGCCACCACTGTGGCTCAGGTAAGCTCAAATCTAATTGGACGGCTCGTTTCATTGTTGACACATTGGTCATAAAAAATCTCGCTTTGTCACGTTGCGATTGATCGCGCCCGGTGTTAATAGTCCCATAGGGATCTATTGTTCCGATTCAAGAGTGTCCTCGCGACGTACATTTGTGTCACTTAATCGCGCTCAGTGTAAAAAGCCCTTTAATTTGATAAAAGCAAGAAGTAATGTTTATTATATGAGTGATCAAATTTTAATATAGATTCATACCTAAGATATATGTAATGTCGAACTGCATAGGAGTAAATCTTTGGTACATCTTGGATGGAAATTTCAGGTCTGTATATTCCAGGGAATCCACAGTCACAGATCCAGTCGCCATGCTCTCTCTGAAGCCTATGGAGGTCTTTCGTCGTTTTACATGACAAAATCTGAACGCAAGATAAAATGGTTAGAGATCTTGTAGCTTAAGAAGGAACAGATTGATGGAGAAATGGATAGAAACCTTTTTCAGTTTGTCCTGAATGTCATCATCTGGTATCAGGTGCCAGTCAAAGTCTACCAGTTGACATTCTTGGGTGCACATCAGCTGGTACAGACAAGGGTCAAAAGCTTTGAGTCCTGGTCCGCCATGAGCCACAGACCACGCAATCAGCTTCCCTGCCAACTCATACTTGTGTTCCTCCAAAGACATCTGGTCATAGGTGAAGAACAAGTGTCCAGACGGTCCCTCAAAGATCCCCAGTGAGCTTTGCACCTCCATCATCAGGATTCTGAGGCAAGGGTAAAGATGAAACGAGATGCCATTCATGTCAAAGTCAAACAAAACTGTAACCTAGTGCATGTTTCCTGTGTAAGAATGAGTTTTCTACTCTTTAATGAATCCAAATCCAATTTTTGATTGTAAGTGGCATACCTAAAAAACTCTCTCCGTGGACCTCCACAGTCGAGTGCTTGCTCACCAACAAATGTCACGAGGGGTATTTTAGTCCAAGAGAAATTGCAGTTGGAAAGCGCATCTTTAGCACTCTGCAGCAACTTCTTACGAGAAACCAATACTGAAACTTGCCCATTGGCACTGAGATGCGTGTGCTGAAACTCTCTGAGCAAAGAGCTAACGTCCATCTCCTCCTGTTGAAGAGATGTGAATAGTACCTCATGCTGCCTTTCTGCAATGTCAATGTCTGTACGGTGTCACGTGTGTGTGTCAAAATGAAGATGATTACCATTGAAGAGTTTCGGCTTGAATCTGAAAGATAACTGTTGGTTGAAGTCAGCCGCTCCCTCTGTTGTGCAGGAGCAGGTGGAGGAGAGCGTGATGGGCAGAAAGCATTTGGATTCACGACTGACGATAGTGTGTGCGCAGTCATCTGTGAAAAAATTAGTAGCCTAGTTTGATTGTATATAGTACTATTAAGTAATTGTTAACTAGCAGGTTGAGCTGCAAAAAAAAGTGCCTTCAAACATTTACCTTAATACTGTGGCACTTATTACAGTAGTTCAGAACTGATTAAATGAATAAATAAATAACAATTTCCTACTATACCTCATTTAAAACAATGTCCGTCCCAGGAATTATATAAAGTTCGCTATCACCAAGCTCCTTTTTTATTTTCTTCAGAGTGTCTGCATGTAATCTGCAAAGTCTTCCACGTTTATCAGCCTTTGCAAAATGGAAACCAATCGAATCCAGATTGACCAATGGATATCTGGAGCAAATGAAGCAATTCAGCTCTCTCCAAGTCCAGGTAAGATCTACTCCTCTTGACTCCTGACTCCTCCTCTGGACAGGTATGCCTAGAAAGCATCACATAGGACATATTGTAAGATTAACTGTAAACTGTATGCGCACAATGAGAACTGTCGATGCTGGTGATGTTTTTAAAAGGATTAGTTCACCCAAAAATGAAAGTTCTGTCATCATTTACTCACCCTCATGTTGTTCCAAACCTGTATGAGTTTCTTTCTACTGCTGAACACAAAAGAAAATATTTTAAAGAATGTTGGTAACCAGGCAGTTGACAGTAGCCAACATTCTTCAAAAATATCTTCTTGTGAGTTCAACAGAAGAAAGAAACTCATACAGGTTTGGAACAACTTGAGGGTGAGTAAGTTATGACAAAATTTTCATTTTTGGGTGAACTATCCCTTCATGCTGAAAGTAGCCAGATAACGTACCTAAACCAGCTCTTGTGAGATCTGAACGCTCTATGATGCTTGGGATTGTTGTCTGGTTGGCAAACTGTACAAGGAAGAGACTTGGTTTCCAGTTTGATGATGTTTTCTGGACCATTCTGGTGTCTAAGCAGGATTAAAAAATTGTTTAAATGGAATCAGTATACTGGGTTCTAAAACTAAAAAATATGCTTGATGGATGGTTCATTATCGACGTTGGCGTCTTAAAGGAGAACTCCGGCGCAAAATGAACCTTTGGTCTAATTACACATTGTTACCTAGTCAACCGTTATCTGAGATTTGTTTTCATGATTATCGAATGTAAATAGTTTTATCTCTAAAAACAGTTTAGCCTATAACGCTAGTATATAGGGCATAGAGTAATGACAAATAAAAATCGCTTGTTAATACCACTAACAAGGCTCAAAAGAGCCCCACACTAACACGGTAGCATAATGAGGTCAGTGTCCAGACAGTTTAATAAGAAGATATTTTATACATACAGTCAACTTCGTGTATACAGGCAGAAGCCATCTTTGAAAAACAGTCTCTACCAGTTGATCTACGAACGCCGATCCAAGCCTGCTGTTCGCGCTCACCTTATCACAACTTATAGCTCGTTCACATCTCACCAGCGCACTTGGATCGGCGTTCGTAGAGCAACTGGTAGAGACTGTTTTTCAAAGATGGCTTCTGCCTGTATACACGAAGTTGACTGTATGTATAAAATATCTTCTTATTAAACTGGACACTGACAAAGTTCTCAATGCTTCGGTTTGAAGGTAGGGACCCTCATTATGCTACCGTGTTAGTGTGGGGCTATTTTGAGCCTTGTTAGTGGTATTAACAAGCGATTTTTATTTGTCATTATTCTATGCCCAATATACTAGCGTTATACTAGCGTTATAGGCTAAACTGTTTTTAGAGATAAAACTATTTACATTCGATAATCATGAAAACAAATCTCAGATAACGGTTGACTAGGTAACAATGTGTAATTAGACCAAAGGTTCATTTTGCGCAGGAGTTCTCCTTTAAGAAAATCTTTTCACCTGTTTTATGGTTATCACTTTGCTCTTCCTCTGACATTTGTCTCTCAAACTGTCTCGTCAACCAATCGATGCCACCGTCAACGGGACAAACCGGGCATGACGTTCGACTACCCCTCCTTGAGCCTACAGCACATTGTTTACAAAAGATTTTATAGTCAGTTCTGACTGAACTGCAAAGAAAAGTCTTTCCCGCATTCAGTACTTACCCAGAAGGCGGACGGCACTTGTGCTCCCGTACAAATCAATGAAAACCCACAGTGGATGATTCAGGTTCAGTCCTTTTGTTTTGAGGTAATATTTCTCCCCACCTTTCTCTTGAATAATAACCATGCCTGCATAGTTCATCCAAAACTGAAGCTCCACACCTCTCCTACACAAGTCCTCTGGCACCGGCACAACGCAGTATCCCTGTGCGTCCCTGAGGTCTGGTATAGAGGCAGGTGGTATATTGTTTCTTTGTGGGCAGATGTTGGTGAAACCCACACGGAGAGCTCCATCCCATGACGAAGTGCAGTCCTCAATACATACACACAGCTTTTCGTCCACCTTTACAGTGCGGCTAAGAAACACCAAACCATTCAAAAAGGTGGATGAGTCTCTGGATGCGAGTCTCCTTCCTTGGCTAAGGGACACATATTGACCTGTCATGTCCAGATTGAAAGTCATCGGACCCAGACATCGACTGCCACACATGCGATCGTGCCCTAAAATAATACAAATGTACAGTCAGACTGACAAACCAATGAACCTAGAACCACTTTATGTATTTTGACCAGTTATACTCACTCATTGTTGGTTTGTCTTCATGCCTCATGAAAAGGTCCTGATGTTCAAGATGGTAAACTATACCAAAACACTATTTGTGACTGCTTTTACTGTCCAAGTCGTTGTGAGTACCACAGAGCATGAAGCCTGTTTTACTAGTTACACTGGATGAATGAAGAAAAGAAAACAAGAAGGGGACGGGCTTATATGTAGGTGAAGCACAGTGAGGAAAATGACTGGCTTACTGTTTGTAATTTGGTTTTGTAATTACAGTACAAGATTTCTTTTAAATTGGCAACTCCCGATTCAAATGTTTGAGAAATGTTTGAGAAATTAGGTGGTGTTGAAAGGTGAATCTCATAAAAACATGTTGAGATCACAATTTACTCCTGAATATACATATATATCATGCAATTTAAACACTGGCACAGATGATAATTCTTATTATTTCTCATCAATTTAACGCATTAGCTATACGTAAGCTAACAATAAGCAATATGTTTGTAACAGTATTTATTAATCTTTGTTAACATTAGTTAAAAGTTAATATTTACGGAGTTCTATTAAATAATATTAATGTAATATCTAATTGATCTAATAATGTATTAGTAACTGTTGAAATTAACACTAACCAAGATTAATAAATGCTTTACCATTATTTCTCATTGTTAGTTCATGTTATCTAATTTAATTAATCTAATCCAATCTAATCTAATCTAATCTAAAATCCAGGGAGTTTATTTTTATTTTAAATAGGCCTAGTTATAATCCAAGCTACAATGGAAGGTTTAAGTTGTCATTTGGCTCATTGAAATACTGGTGAAACAAGACGTGGCGAATAGTTTCATGACAGGTTTTTAAGAAAACAAACATCTAACACACATACAGGAGAAACCCTAAACATACTCTTAATGATGTTTAGGGTTTCAAGCTAGAAATATGAATCTGATGCTGAGATTAATGCAGGGATTTCCCATCATTTGAAATATGCATTTTAATGTAGAATGCCAACGCAAAATATGTGTGTTTTTTTTTTTAGTATGACTTACCTAATTATATGAATGTATCATACAGTTCAGGTGGGTTTGAATATTCATGTAATATCAATTATTGATATGAGATATGACCAAAATATCATGCTGTAGAGCCTGAGTTTCCCTTTCTCAGCAGGAGATTTCTCTGAAATTACAACCTGGAAAATCCAGGGATTGGGGCCATCCCACTTTCCTTTTCTTCTCAAACAAGTATGTAAGATACTGTCATAACGAAAGCAAAAGTATGACTCCTGACCATGACCTCTAAAAATACATTTTTGTTTTGGCATGTGTTTGGTTTTTAATCTTTAGACATAAACATTCAAGAATCAAACACTTAACACAATAATATTGCCAGAAACAATAATGAAAATATTAAACAATAAAAGCTCAAATCAAATAATTAGGCTAATCAATAAAATACAATCAGAAATGTGAAACTAACGTTCTTTAGCGCAAGTTCTATAGACTGTTTTCTTTTTAATCGCATCATCTCTTTCTTTCATCATCTCATTTTTCATCTTTCATTATTCTGTGAAGCAATGCAGTGGTCTGTAAAAACATGCGGAAACTAAACGAGTAAATAATTAAGAAACCTGCCTGCCAAGGGTTAGAGATCTGTAAACACACCAGCAAATGACTTCAGGTAGCCTACATCTATTTCAAATAAATTAATAATTGCTGTGGGACTTCAGATTAGCACACAAACACATTTGACCCTTCAATATAAATGGATACACAGATGACCTACTACATTTGTTTTAAAAAAAAGCATACCAACACAAATACGTGTGCAATGAGCTTCTGAACTTCCATTTCTCTAGCTTGACGGATGAACCAGGTGTCGCGTTTATCAGTTACAATCTTTAACTCACTCGTACAAATTCGTAGGCTACGATTTTTGCTTTCGTACATATTTTACGAGTTACCAAATTCGTATGAATTCGTAAGAATGACCTACCCCTGACCCCGCCCCTAAACCTACCCATCACGTGGGTTAGACAAATCGTACGGATATGAGTGAGGTCGTACGAATTCGTACGAATTATGCACCTTTTAATCACTCGTACGAATTCGTACGAATTGTTCGTGAGATGTTGGTATTGCGCAGTATGCGGTCAATTGTCAGTGACTGACTGCAGAAAACAGTTGAAAAAAAAGTTATATCCACATATCTATTTCAATCCATTTTGCAGAATAATTGACATTTCTCACACACTGTCCAAGTCCAGATTTTACAGGCATGTTACTTCCAATTATGAAGAACTTGCAAGAGCTTTCTGCAAACATTAGGTAGTTGCGTGTGGAAGCAACAACAACAACAACACAAACAAAACCCAGAACTTTCAAAAACTATACCTCAGAGAGCCTTGATGAACAGATAAAGAAGCGCTGATCAGATGAAAGCAGATATGAAGACTTCAGATGCAAAAGCCTAAGTCCGTCTAACGTTTTTCTTTAATATTAGCAACCAGGCTCCAGGTTTCTACCCAAGTAGGCCTACCGGCATTTCTGAATGGGCTGAGGCTGGGGTTTCGTGAGGCTACACTATGTGCGGAGAGCATTCACTCAATATTATCTCATTTTTTACATATGTGGTTTTTAGAGGCTTTTGCATCGGAGGTATAGTGTCACATGTACACAAACATTCCATGTAATTGTTTGTTGTAAAACATCCCTTTTCTCTTAAAGGGGTCATGAACTGGCTTTTTAAATTGTGTTATATTGTTGTCTGAGGTCAACTTATGACGTTCGCTTGGTTTTTACATTCAAAAACATCAAACTGAATAAGTAATAGGCTATTTTCTACCCTAGTTTTGAGTCTAGCTCAAAAACGCTCGGTTTTTATGGGCGTCTCGCATTGAAGACTTGGAAGTAAACGCCCACTGCTGTGAGTGGATAACAGTTTTGCATATTATAATGAGTTTCGTGTAATGCGCGAATCGGTGGGCGGGGCTAAACCGTCCGTGTTGAAGTAGGCGTTGATCTTCTTCTGCGGGGCTGATGTTTTATCCTCTTTGTCGTCATAGTTCCCCCACTTTGAAAAACGAGTCGTTTGCTGAGCCTGGTGTCAATAAAAGCTTTTATTGGACTAACAAGGATGTTTTCAGTTCTGAAACTTACAGGATATTCTTATAATATGATGACCTCTTAGATGTCAAAAGCTCAAGGAAAATTTGATTTCTCAGTTCATCACCCCTTTAAGTTAATTTAACAACATGCTAACACTTTACAATAAGGTTTCAATTTGTTAACATTAATGTATTAACTAACAATGAACAATAAATTATTAATCTTTGTTAATGTTATTTAATAAAAATACAGTCGTCTGTTTGTTCATGTCAGTTCTCAGTGCATTAACTGATGTTTTCTATTAAATCTCTTTGTACTAAATGTCTTAATTCAAAGCCAAGTTCAAGTTGAGACAAGTGTAATTCTCCCGCTGATCACAGATTGCCAGTTGTTTTTAAAGCATTGACAATCCTGTGCTAGAGTCAGCTTTATATTTTCCAGTGATGTATTAAAGTGCGTATATGCACATCGGCCTATTATTGGCCATATTGATATGAGGACACATTACTTTATAAATGTACTGATTGGTTGATGATATGCTTCCAGCCCTTGAGCTTGTTCCTCTTGTCTTCATGCACTGACCGAGGGATTGTCGATAGGTCTCTATGTGGAGATTGTTGATGTCTGACATCATGACTGTCATCTATCGCCCTCTACAGAGCAAAACGAGTTCAAGCAGCCCAAACAATAACATATAGAGAGGGGATTTTTTCATTAAAACCTAAACGTCAGTGGAAGAGGTTTTTAAATGAATGTCTGGAAATCCCGGCATAAAAAAAAAATATATATATATTGTGACCAAACTGAGCATATAAGCATTGTTTTTTTTTTTTTTTTTGTCTTAGGGGTTTATTTAATTAAAACTAACAGATTTTACCTTTCTTTCTTTCTTTCTTTCTTTCTTTCTTTCTTTCTTTCTTTCTTTCTTTCTTTCTTTCTTTCTTTCTTTCTTTCTTTCTTTCTTTCTTTCTTTCTTTCTTTCTTTCTTTCTTTCTTTCTCCTTCCTTATTTCCTTTCTTTCCTTCTTTCTCTTTCATTCCTTATTTCCTTTCTTTCTTCCTTATTTCATTTCTTTCTTCCTTATTTCCTTTCTCTTTCCTTCCTTATTTTCTTTCTTTCTTCCTTATTTTCTTTCTCCTTCCTTATTTCCTTTTGTCCCTATTTCCTTTCTTGTTCTTTCCTTATTTCCATTCTTTCTTTCTTGTTCTTTCCTTATTTCCATTCTTTCTTCCTTATTTCCTTTCTTTCTTTCTTTCTTCCTTCCTTATTTCCATTCTTTCTTCCTTCCTTCCTTCCTTCCTTATTTTTTCTTTCTTCCTTTCTTTCTCCTTCCTTATTTCCTTTCTTTCCTTCTCCTTCCTTATTTCCGTTCTTTCCTTCTCCTTCCTTATTTCATTTCTTTCTCCTTTCTTTCTCATTCCTTATTTCATTTCTTTCTCCTTCCTTCCCTTCTCCTTCCTTATTTCCTTTCTTTGTTTCTTCCTTCCTTCCTTTTTTCTTTCTCCTTCCTTATTTCATTTATTTCTCCTTCCTTCCTTTCTCCTTCCTTATTTCCTTTATTCCCTTCTCCTTCCTTATTACCTTTCTTTGTCCCTTCCTTCCTTCCTTTTTTCTTTCTCCTTCCTTATTTTATTTCATCCATAATTTTTTCTTTTATATATATATATATATATATACACACACACACACACACACACACACCTTTTATACCTCAAAAACTGCCACTACACCACTTGTGAATGCTTGTGTCAAATTTAAGAATTTATGCATGAACCTACACAATCAATAGCTCAGTGCAAACTGTAATTGTAAAACCCTTCTTGAGCTGGACAGAATATCAAACAGTCTAAGACCAGAAAGTCAAGGACAAGGCCTAGTTTAAGGTCAGACTGACCATTTAACTTTTGCTCTCAGAAAATGGGTGTCATTGCTGTAGATTCTTTACACTTATTTCATTATATAACATCATTTTGTTATTTGTCATTACCTGTGTGCGCTTGTTACATTTAAGTGTACATATTAACAATTGCCTAAAACCATTGCATCTTGCAATTGCATTACATCTTTGAATAAACGCATTAAACATTTTACTTTTGCCATTTTTCCAGTTGTTGACTACATATGAATCAAAAGCACTTTGATACTTTTGATTAAAATGATAAATCGCTCTACAATCCCAGAAATACAATTTAGATGCAAATATTTTGATGAATTACGTCTAAAGTAGAGAGGGGAAGATTTTGCAGCTGAAATTAGGAAGAAAAAGAAATCTGTCAGACATAGTCACCAAACATCTTATTCATCTTCCACAATGCCACAATCATTATGAAGAAAATGACTGTCAAATATATTCCCAATGACCATTGAAGATGACAAAAAATCCCATTTCCTTGTGTTACGCTTCCTAGCTGCTCCTCCACAGCCACGGCAGACGCCCCATTAAAAAGCGACTTATTCTCACCCAGACTTTTTAAAAAACTATTAATCTGTTGACAACCAATCAAAGGCTGTCCCACTGTGAAAACAGACCAATGAAGAGATCAGGCACGTTGAGCGCTTAACCAATCAAGACAGGGCATTCTAATTCTGTCCATCATTATGTTGGACTGTGTAAGGTACATCTTATTTATGACCTGCAACCAGAGAGCCAGTGGTACATTTGTCTGTGCAACGGAGAGTGGCGCTGGGTGTTTACTTTGGAGTTCCAGCATCCATTATGGACTAGTTAAAAGAGTTGAGAAGAGGAAATAAAAACAGACTCTGACCTGACCTTTCAGACATTTTGAACCTGGTGTGATGTGAGGACCACACTGAGCGCTGGAAATACTCCAGATTCTTAAATCAGACCTCAGATTAGAACTGGACCAGACCCTTCGGAGTACTGGATGTCAGGACCTTGGTAAGAATCAGCCTGGAATCATCATCATCATCATCCTCGTCACTGGAAACAGAAGAAGAGCGCACACTAGTTTCCATGGAGTCCAATATTTCAGGGTCTTTCCTCTTCAACAACAGCTTGAACCAGTTCCCCTCAGACATCAAGGCCCCGGTGTGCCAGTACTCCATTCCCAACTCCTTCTACAAGCTCAGCCCCGCCAATATCAACGCTCAGCTCCAGGCTGGCACTCCGCATGGCATCAGTGACATCCTGAGTCGATCCTTGATGGGCGGCCCGGGAACCCCTGCGCTATTGTCCGGGTACCCCACCATGGGTGGCTTTGGGACAGCTGTGCCCAGTCCAGGGGTGTATTATAATCGGGATTACGCCCCATCGGGACTGAGCGCTTTCCCTAAAGCGGGTGTTGAGTGTTCGGGTATGAAGGGCAAAGGCAGCAGCTGCTGGGTGGACGGAGGGTACGAGTGGAGAGGAGCGAGACAGCAGTGTGCCAACAGTAAGTCTGGGCAAGAGATGCACTTCCAGTTCATTTGAAAGAGTATTACGTGTTACGTCACACTAACAATGTGACATTTACTAATACTAACTTACCTTGTTTACTATTTAGTACATTTATGTCAATTGTTTGGATACAGAAGAAGAAAAATAAATCCCAATTAGACTGTATTTAAGGACTTGACAGGTTGAATATTAGTCCAATGCGATATTAATTCATATTGAACATTTCAGTGGGAATGTTACAAGATTTAACAAATCAGTGTGATATTATCATTGTCTATAAAATTTACTGTATACGATGCAAATTATATTTAAGTGAAAGGTTGTGGACAATTTTTCAAATTACTTTTTTCAGGTAAACAATATATAAAAATGATAATTTAATGAAAAAAAAACCCCTTAAAATTATTAAACAGTTCATTATTTTAAGATTTAACTGGAAATGTTTTTTCAATGATTTAACAAATCAGTGTGATATTATCCTTGTATATTGACAGTATATGATATAAATTCCAGTTGTGGAAAATACTTTTTAAAAAACAAGATAAAAAATAATTGTTTAACGAAAATAACTGTAGCGGCCTATCATTTTAAACTTTATTATTTTAAGCTTTAAGTGGAATGTACAAAATAAAGAAATAAAAATTAATATGAATATTATATTATATTTAAATAATTATGTGTATACAATATAATAAACATTCTAACATAATTCTATCAAACATTTGACATTTTCATTGACATTTGTTGCCTTTGAGAAGTAAAACGTCAGATGTTTCTTTTATTTTTTATTTAAGATGATTCTATTTATTCCAAGATCTCCTAGTTTCAGTTGTAACTAATATGAATGTTTCTAACATAAAATAAAAAATTGTTAATGTAAAATTGTTTCCATTTGCTCAATTCATGCTTTTAAGTCACAAAAGAGAAATGAAGTCATATAAAATGTGTCAGGTTTAGTTGGGATACACAATCTTGTGTTTCTCTGTAGATGGTGGGCATCACACTGAGACGGCGGGGAAAAAGAAGCACACAAGACCCACTTTCAGCGGGCACCAGATCTTCGCTCTGGAGAAAACCTTCGAGCAGACCAAGTACCTGGCAGGACCAGAGAGAGCCAGACTGGCATACTCACTAGGCATGACTGAGTCACAAGTTAAAGTAAGTTAACATTGTAAACAAATATTTTCATAATTGATCACAACTTTTTTCTTTTGTCAAATCAACTTTGATAATTAAAGCGATAGTTCACCCAAAAAATTTAAATGTTTTTATTATTTACTCACCCTCATGTTGTTCCAAACCTGTATGGGTTTCTCTATTGTTGAACACAAAATAAGATATTTTGAAGAATGCTGGTAATCAAACAGTTGATGGTAGCCAATAGCCATTGACTTCCATTAGGAAAAAAATACTATAAAAGTCAATGGCTCCCGTTTGGTGACCAACATTCTTCAAAATATCTTATTTTCTTATTTTGTGTTTAACAGAAGAGAGAAACTCATACAGTTTTGGAACAACAGGAGGGTAAAAGTAAATGATAACAACATGTTTTTTTTTGGGTTAACTATACCTTTAATGTGTGTTTTTTTTGGGGTGAACTATATCCCTTTAATGTGGTTCAGATAACATATTTGGAGTTACTGTTGATTAAACCAATCTCAATCATTCAAGGCTATTAACTCGCATTTTTAATTTCAATAAACAACCAGGTTACTTAGGCTACTTAAAACAAAAAACAAAAAAACAGTTAAACCAACAATAATAGTTTAATAGTTCTGCATTCCTGCGTTATTCAATATAAAATAGGCCTACTCATTGGTTGGGGATTAAAGTTGGCAAAATTGTTGAGAAGCAAACCGCTAAGTATATTCTGTCTAACTGACATTCTCAAAGGTTTGTTGTGAGAGTTTATTTATTTGTAACGAGTTTTAACAGCACCTGCGTGAATCTGACACGGTAATGTGATTCCTCTCAGGTGTGGTTCCAGAACCGGCGCACTAAATGGCGGAAGAAGAGCGCGACGGAGCCCAGCTCCACACAGCCCTCGCGGGTAGAGAGTGGAGGAGACGGCTCAGAGAACGAGGTGGAGGACGAGGAGTACAACAAACCGCTGGACCCCGACACGGACGACGAGAAGATCCGACAGCTGCTGCGAAAACACCGCAGAGCTTTCTCAGTACTGCGCCTGGGACCGCATCATCTCTGAAGGCGAAGGCACGTTCAACAGGCCGCTGTCCCATAATACCAACATACAAACAAACACGCATATTCATACACTCCAAAAAAAACAAGGGGTCTCAAATTATACGAATACACAGTAATATATAACCGTTCTTGGTAACACTTTCTACGAAAATTACCACCATTTATTTTGCCAAGGAAAAAAAAAAAGATACAAAAGAAACTATATGGGGTGATCAAAATGGAACCTGCTATTAAACAGCCTTATAGGCTTTTACGGTACAAATTTAAACAGAAAAACAATTATGATATAGGCCTATAAAACTATTAATGAAATGGCAAAATAACATGTAGGCAGGGCCGGATTAACCATTAGGGCAACTGGGCACTTGCCCAGGGGCCCACGACATCTAAGGGGCCCTGGGCACCAGGGGCGGAGTGGCAATCGGGAGAGTCGGGAGTTTCCCCGGTGGGCCGGTAGTGTTTCGAGGCTGCAAGGGCCGGTCTGATAAAATGTATTTTAGAGAACGGAGCGTATATTTGCACTAAGTGCCTGTCTTTTTACCAAAAAGACGCCCGTCACGGAATAGCTGCAGTGGCGTAGGTCGTAACGCGTGGAGTGCTTGATTGCAGCTTTTGATGTGCTCGACCCGAGTTCGAATCCGCCTTTTGCCGAACTCTCTCTCCCTTTTCCCAACACATATGAGATGTAAAATGTATAACCTAACATAAAGGTCTCAAGCGTTATATTTTGCCAACGAACTAAAATCGAAACCATGATATGGCTTTGTGCCTTTATAAAACAGCATAAGACTTTAAGAATAGACATCCTGTTTGTGCTGCGTGATTGAAAGAAAAGTGCGCTCTTTGCTCACGCGATCAGCATGGTTATCTGGTGTTTTCTCCTAAATAAAAGCTCAAGGGTTTATTTCTTGCAAGTGAAGAAATTAGGACAAAAGTCTTTTAATTTTCCTGTATTATAGTGTAATGTAGCCTAAAATATACTTTTGAAATATTCATTTTCATTTATATAGTACATTTTATAGGCTATATGGATTTTACGTCATAGGAATAATTATATAAATCAGTATTACATTATTATAATAATTGTTTGGCATCCTAAAACACCAGTGATGATGTAATGTAGACTTAAGACTCTATATATCATAACTAAAAAGATGTTTGAGCCCTCTTTATCGTCCTGGTACAAATCAATGCTTTTTCTATGTTCAATGAGCAGTTCATGGGTTGAAGCTAATTTTGATCTCTCAAAGAGCACGAGATTGATGCATTTAACCTTAAAATGTACAAAATTTTCTTGCGGGGGAGCACGCCCCCGAACCCCCCTAGAGGCACAGAGGTCCACCCAACATAGTTTTACAAATTCCCATGGGAAAGAACGACCATTTATGAACTTTAATCTAGCATAGTACAACAAAGTTCCTTTTAAGTCAGTAAAACTGTAAATGCAATATTAAAATGTCCTTGGACAAAATATACATTTGGCTTGCCTAAGGGGGGCCCTACAAGACATTGTGCCCAGGGGCCTCTGAACTCTTAATCCGGCCCTGCATGTAGGCCTAAAAGAAGACAAAATGTTTTGGGCAGTGTGTAGCCTAATTGATTCATTGTATCCTAAATGTATTGTAACGGAAAAAACACATTTGTGGACTAGAATTTTGAATATAAAGATAGGCTATAGTTATTGGGATATGGATCTTTCTTGCGTGACAGCTAGGCCTATTAATACTCTGTATAACAAATTATTTTAATCATTTTAATATTGAACTATTCATGGCTATTCATTTGATTATGCATAATAACATCTTATACATGCCATTGTTATTGATCATTGTGTTAATACAATGTATTATCTAAATATATAGCCATGAATAAACCATTATAATTTATTATAGGCTACTGTAACTGATTTACGAGAACATACAATTGACAAAATTTATAAGGCCATAGGAATCAATTTTAAGGCATTAAGAATACATTTATGTTGCAAAGCTTCAAAGAAAGTGTTACACTGTAAAAAGTGGTCAGTTAATGTAACTTAAAAAAAGTGAGGAAACCCGTTGCCATAAAATTAAGTAAATAAATTTAATGCGTAATTGAAATAAAAAATGTCAAGTTCCCATAACTTATTTTTTTTTCAATTACGCACAAAGTTTATCTACTTAATTTTATGGCAATGGGTTTCTTTTTTCACTTTTTTAAGTTAAGTCAACTGATCACTTTTTACAGTGTACCCAGTTGTCTTTGAATTTTGTATTGAATATTGCTCAAACTTATTCAGAGATAAAATGCATTATCAATGCTCATGAAACAGGCATAACAAGCAGATATGGTCAAACGAAATTGGATACATAAATCAATACCGAATGAATTGTATTCTCACTCTCTTTATATCATTACGCCACTGTAGATTTACATTCTTCCAAAAGTTACAAGCATTTCATGTTGTGCCAGTGAAGTTGAATTAGTCCATACATCAGGTCAAGTTCAGACAGGGATGTTTAGTTATAAGACAGCATGTTTTCCATAATGCCATACAAGCACTGTAGAGATACTATTATTTATTGATTTTTAAAAACTCTTGAAGACAGGGTAGATAGATATTACCCCAATAATAAATAAATGAAACCATAAATAACACTCAAATGTTTAACATCTAAAATGCATATAATCAAATGTATATGATCTGTAAATTAATTATGAAGAAAATGCACAATAAATTGCTGTTTTGAATGTTGAGTTTGTCCTGTTATTTAGAAAATCTGTTCAATCTTGTAACGTTTTAAAGAGGTAAAACAAACCCTTTTCAGCATGCTAGATAGTGAACAATATGAAAGGAATTAAATCTTGAGAATATTAAGTTACATTTTAAGCTAATGCCTGAGTTTAACCTGTTGGGAAAAAAAAAGGCTGTTTGAACTGTCAATAAATGTAAAACTTATTCTGATAATTCTACAGTAAATCAGCAGGCACTGGATATAAAGTGGTCATTGTCAGTTTGATGAATGTCATTTACCTAATGGCTCCTTTGAGACCAGTTGTCTACAGGGAAGCATTAGTCAGATCTCAGATCCTTTAATCTAAATGCGAGAGCAGATGGTGGGAGTCTGTGTGTGTCTTGTTTAGCATCTGCTTGTTATGGACGTCTTAACTGCACACCTCAATTAAAGGGTCTTATAATGACAATGACTCTGGATTGATCAATTAATGTGAACGGAGTCAATGTGAAACAATTGACCGAACAGGCATCAATGGATCTTCTCAGTGATGCTAATTTTAGCACCAGTTGCAATATTTAAAATATGGAGAAACTCAACGGCTGCGTCCGAAAGCTGAACAATGCTGCCTCCGCAGGCAGCACAGGAAGGCAACAAGACACATCCGAATCCAATGATCGTGTCACAACCTGTATCTATCCCTCTCTAATGGATTTTTTGTATCCTAGATGTATCCTTCACTGCCCTTGATATCCAACAATACTGTGGATTCCGTGACAGCTGAGCTTAAAAAATAAATATGGCGTCTGAAATTTGCAGTTGGTGGTCAGTTTGTGTGTAATATCTTGTGTGTAATATCTTTGTAAATGTACATTCTTTTCCCCACTTTTGATTTCTAGTGAGAAATTACTATTGTTGTAAATAAATATTCATTTAGTTGTCACCAAGTTGCCATGCGCAAGGCAAGTCTATATCAGAGCAAGTTTCTTTCAGTTAAAACAGCTCAAACATGAATTTTAGTCCAGGACTAGCTTAAGCCTTGTAAACTGGCCAAATATGTGTATTAATAAAAGGAAGACTGGGGTTAATGGCTGCTGAAAATTCACCTTTGCCATCAGAGAAATAAATTATACTTTAAAATAGATTAAAATGAAAAGTTATTTTAAATTGCAATTAATTTGATAAAAATAATGAAAAAAAGAATTACTGTATTTTTTAACAAATAAATGCCTTGGTGAGCATAAGAGACTTACCGACCCCAAACTTTTGAACGTGTATGTGTATGTGTTCATATATTCAATAGCAATTCACATTTTTCTATCTATCTATTTATTTACCCAATTTAAATATTAGGTTATATGTATCTATTAGGCTAAAAAAAATACACAATTCAACTGATCAGTTGATGAATATATACATTTTATTAGGAAATAAGACATAAGATATTTGAGAAAAACATTCATTGGTGCTGCAGAAGGTATAGTACAGTAAGAGGGTCTTTAGACCGTCTCTAACATTCGACAGCACATTAGGTACACTATATGCACTGCTACTGTTTTACTGCATCTTATGTCTGTTACAACCGATCTGCCAAACACAAGGTCTGTCTGAAATCATAAAATGAAAAAAAAATGAAAAAACTATATTTGGCACATTATCAAGCATCATGTACATCTTCAATCACAACAAAGTCAGTCTTTTTTTTTTCTCCTGCAGTTTTTAGGTATGAATGTGACTGTTTAAAGGGATAGTTTGTCCAAAAATAAAAATTCTGTCATCGTTTACTCATCCTCAAGTTGTTCTAAACCGGTATGAGTTTTTTTGGTTCTATTGAACATACAAGAAGATATTTAGAAGAATGTGGGTAACCAAACAGTTGCTGATCGCCAATGACTTCCACAGTGTGAAACCCCCCCCCCACAATATCTGCTTTTGTGTTCAACAGAAGAAAGAAACATACAATAAGTTTAGAACAACTCGAGGGTGAGTAAACGATGACAGAATTGACATTTTTGGGTGAACTTTCCCTTTGTTTACTCCGAACAATCTATAATTTCATAATGGCAAATGTTCTGATCCTATCGACAAGTTTCCTCCAGTCACCATTTACCTTAAACTTTTCACCATACCACTGTCCATTTTCTTGATAGACACTGTATATAACAATATATTTGTCAATGTTTCTAGGGTGGCTCCATGGGAGAAACTGATTTCACCAAGTACAACATGTTCCTGGATCAACATCTTTGTTGATCCTGGAACAACATTCTAACCAATAAGATTTGATGGACAAGTTTGCAGTTTATGTCAAGTTTAGGCTTGCAACCATGGTTAGGTGCTTCTACATCAGTGTTTTTCACAGATTTTAGAGATAATTTATGGATAGGGTTAGGTTTAGGGGTTGGGATATGGTCAGAAATGTTGTTCCAGGATCAACAAAATATGTTCAAACAGGAAAGCGTCTAACTGCAAAATCGGGACGTGCTAATCCATGACAATGCCTCAGTCTTTTTTTTTTTTTTAAGAAGAAGAAGAAAAGTTAGAGACACAGAAAGTAGAAATAACTTAAAGGTTAACATACAATAAGCAATGTGACTGATTTCACAATTGCTGTGAATTACGGACTATGAATGCTCACATCACTGCTAAGTAAAATACTTCCCCAAAACCAGTGCAAACACGAATGGCTACATACACGTGTAACTTAGCATGCTAATAACAGTGCTCATAAATCTCAAGAGACTGTAGTGTTTGTGTTTATCTGTAAAATCTCAAATGCTAAACGACATCTATGTCGTTCCTACAGCGACTCCGTGGCCTCCTATTGAACCACGGTTTGAAGCGATGCCCCGGAGAACAGTAAATTATGTTGACCATACCATGAATCAACTTCAACAAGTCCATTATTGACAGGTGGGCTGTACGATTTAACCCTCGCACGTAAATGATGTGTTGGGGGGTGTTCAGATCATATTGATTTAATCAATAAATTCAGGTTTGGCTAAGAAATCACAGAAATGTTTGTTTGATTTGGGTTTGAAATGAGAAACATGTTGCTGAGGACATTTAAAGGGATATTTTACTATAAAAGTGTGTCAACTTAAATCTTGCATATTGTCGGTTTGATTATTAATACATTTCTGAGCATCAGTGACTCCAAACATCTCCAGATGGACAAACAAAGTGATTCAATAACAGTAACGTAGCCCTACGTATTTACAATTTAAAGTCGTTACATAAAGCAACGCATAAGGTCATTTACCACACAGAATCCTACTATATGAAACGTGGTAATTACAACTAGTTTTAAACGCATTTAACGCTGGACCAACACCAATGAAAACCTACTGTATATAGAGCGGTTAAACTAAACTATACGAAATACCCAAGATCCAACGCAAATAAAACAACAAACAGATCTCCGAACGCTATGCTCCACATTAGTATTCCACATTGCACTAGTGCTCTAATTAAAAGTCTGGGGGCTTCCAGGCCAGGGCACTCTGGGTGGGATTTCCATAATTCACAAGTGCTAATGGCTTTATAACTTGTCCCTTGCTGTCCTGTACATATTCTATTGATCCGAGAGTCTTGACTAACAACCCCGCAGAGACAATGACTGAAGCCGAAGAACACGCTGACAGCCATAAGTGCTGAGGCGAGTGTAAATGCAAAAACACACGATTATGAATCCATACTCACACATGCAGGAAGTATAAGAACTGAAAAGCAACTAGCTGAAAGCTACAGTGTCAGGCCTGCACTTTACTCGACACACATGCACACAATGCAAAGAGATTCAGGAGTCAAACAGCAACCAAAGCTTGTGCGTCGCAGCAGCTTGCGTTTGGATATGGTGTGCTATTGTCAGCATACTTGTACTTGCATTCGCATACAATGAGTAAAAGCAAACGAATGGAGTTGTAATTCCCACTCTATGCAAAGTCTTAAGCTTAGTTGTTTGTGAAAAGTCAGGAGTTGAGAGCTTCGAGAAGTCTTTGTGTTCTTTCTCTTGGTCCTATTTTTCTTTGTTCAGAGATTTCTGAAGTCACGCTGACTGAACAAACCTGAAGTCTTTGTTAAATGTGCATTATGATGAAAGTAAAACTAAGAGTAAAACTATCAGAAAATGAACAGTTCTTGTCCTTTACATTGTGTGCCCACTTGAGTTTGCCAGGAGATTTCAGGGGGTCCTGTAGGGGTTTTCTCATTGTCTCGGTGTGTGAGAGTGAGTGTGTACTTGTTGTAGAGCCCTGGCATGATCGGAAGAGATGACCACAGAATAACCTCTAGGAACACGTCAACAACACAGGAAGTCCTGATAAAGAGAGAAGGAGTGTTAATCAACTTGAAAAGAAAACGTATTTTATGAAAACATATTAATCTTGCACATGACAACTTTGTAAATGATTTGTTTGTCTTAAGGGTATTTGACATGACATATTTTTTGGATTTACTGAAGGAAAAGGGTGATTAGGAAAATGGTATGTGACCAGTTCACTTGTCTTAAGACATACACTTCCTATTATATATTGAAATAATTTTAACCCAAAATCTTTATCTTGATAAAACCATTCTATGGTTTTGTTCATCTAGTGGAAATGTGTTGTTATTATTTTTAGTAATTGTAGAAAAAATGTAAAGAATGATATTGGGTTTATGAATGGACTGAAATGGGTTTATGAATTTTTTGCCAAAGAATTAAACAGAAAAGCTGAGAAGTTATGAATGTGTCATTTTGTCTTTTGAACATTTTTATTATACTGTATTTCATTCCATTTTAGTTTTTAAATAAAACTGTTCTTTTATCTTTCTTATGCATTTGTTCTTAAATAATTTAAAATGGCCGTTTATAATGTTTGCATTTTTTTTTTATTCTCTCTCCTCATTATACCAATGTAAAGCATTTTGGTTTACCAATGAGTATTAAGTACAGTATATACACTACCGTTAAAAAGTTTGGGGTCAGTGAGAATTTTATTTTTATTTTTTGGAGGAAAGAAATCAATACTTTTATTTATCAAGGAATAATTAATTTGATCGAAAGTGACAGTAAAGACATTTATAATGTTACAAAAGTCTTTTGAACTTCCTATTCATCAAAACAGCTGATTTACACTGGAATAATATTTAATACTATAACTGATTTTTGTTGTATTTTTAATCAAATAAGCGCAGCCATGGTTAGCAGAAGAGAATTCTTTTAAAAGTATTTAAAATCGTACCGACCCCAAACTTTTGAACGGTAGTGTATATATATGCTATGTAAAAAACTTGCCATGCTTTGCCTGCTCTTCTATAATCTGTCTGTACGGTATCACAATTTGTGCAGAGTTTTGTATTGCTTGGTATTGTCTGGTACAGTACTGTACTGAATGTACAAAAATGTTTACATCAACTTCTTTGTTTCCAGCCGTTTTTCACAGACTGAAATGTACATTGTACTGTCTTGCACATAATATTAAACAAAACAAACACAAAAAAACCCCCTGCACAATCCACTTTAGACCCCAATTCTTCAATTTAAGCACCAAAGAATACCAATGTCCATAATTTAAGTCTATTTGGAGATTAAACGACAGACCAGCTGCAGTAGTAAACCCATCTAAACAATAGACAAGCGTAACCTATAGAACACACATAAAACTGGCAGCAAAACAAAATCACCGCCCTAAAAATGCCAATATGGGACAACAATGCAGGATAGATCTGTGTTCTGTGTATCTGTAATTAATGAACACTGGTGCGTTTATGGTCCAGTGCGGTGGAATTGCTTGCGTAGGCTTGAGAGCCAGGGAATCCAACAGACATAGATCAGGAGACGAGCAGCGGGACCCGTCTTCCATCATCTCGGCTCGGCGTCACAGTAAATGAGGGCCGAGGGGCTGCTAACGGCTCCTCGGGGAAGATCAGAACTGAACGCTTAAGTGGACTGACGGACATTCTGCGACTCAATCTGGAAATGGGAGAGGTGTACTTGGGTGGTTGACAAATAACGTGGACATAAACCTTTTTTCAACATCAAGATGGTATGCCCTTTTTCAAAGTCTTGATTTTGGTTTTGGGGTCTAGTAGGATTTCATGTTTGAATGTTAAAAAAACTTTATTTTTTCACATATTTTACATTGTTGCAGCAACTCTCTTCCCGGACTGCCAGCAACGCTCTGTTTAGTTCTGGTTTCTATAAAGGCCCTCCTTCTAAAAAAAACACAATGTGCTCTGATTGGACCAGTGTGTTGTGATTGGTCAACCGCTTCGAACCAGTTTTGGAAATGTCACGCCCTTACCATAACTACGAGGTTCAAAACACTAATCAACCAGGCCTCACCCCCCTTTTTTTGCGTACTGTATGCCTTGGGAGGGAATTATTTAAATTAGGAATATTGTAGCTTTTGTTACCTGTCAAAACCAATTTAATCACCTTTTTGTCTTTGTTATTTCACTCGTGTGACGAATATATGTGTAAAAGTACAAACATTCCATATTTACTCAATGAATATTAACTTAAGACATGCATAATATAAAATGAGATGCATCATAATTATTAAAACATTACAACTATGCAATTTAATATAGTTTTAGTTGAAATTCGTGTCACACTGCAGTTAATCTTCAACATAACAAAGTTATGAAATAAAGTTAACTCTATTGGTGACTTTTTTTTTTTACACAATTTGAGGTAATTCAAGAAATGATATATAAAAAATAGAACTGAATTATATAGTTTTATTGTATTTCTTTACATTATACCAGTATAATGTATTGTCCATATTATAAGAATATATTGGGGGGAAAAAACCCTGAAAATCAGATTTTATACTTATAAACTAAATCTTTGTTGTTTCAGGTCAAGCTACAAAAGCAGCAAACACAACACAAACAAACAAATGAAATGCCTCACTCTTTGACTCTCCTAGTGTCAATGTGCAATTGTCTTCAGTGGAAAAAACAGGAAAACAGGCTGGAGAAAAGACATAAAACATAACCAATAAAATAGTCATTCATTGATTCATCCATCAGCATTCGTTGAAACATTTTGATTTGGATGGGATGTTTGAGAGATCTGATCACCTTGTGGTCTCCCATGCAGATGTTGGAGCCCAGTGTGTTATAAACAACACCACTCTCACTCTCTTCCCTCTGCAGACAACAAACAATAAATCAGTCGCTGTTCATTCATCTCAAACACGCATATTGCATATCCTTTGGTACCAGATGATTATTGATTTAACACATGGGTGTGTAATACAGATGAACATATTTAGTTATGGTGTAAAAGAATATGTAAGAAAAGAAGAAGAAGAAAAAAACTTCATTAAGCTCACAATAAAAGTAATAAACGTAAACCTACCCGGTGAATGATGTCTCCCGCGCTGTGGGACATTAGGATGCGGTCACACCATGCCGGGCATCGTGTGTTCATGTACTGTGTAGGTTTAGTGTAGTCTTCACTGTATGGGTAACTGAAACATTAAAACGATGCAAGCAGAACTCAGACATGAACACTGTTTTGGACTGACAATTACAATTCATTATTTAACCCCTCACTTTGCAGGCACGTTGAGAAAAAGTCACAAAATGTCAAGAAAAAAAATCATAAGTTAACCGGTATTTCAAAAATTTTAATGGGTAAAATTGACCCCCATAACATATTTAACTACTGTATTATCACGATGACACACTAGCGTTCAAAAGTTTGAGTCCGGAAAGATTTTTTCTTTTCTTATGTTGACCATTCATTTGATCAAAAATACAGCCCAAACTATTATACTGTGAAATTATTATTACAATTTTAAAAAATCATACTTTAATATATTAATATCCTGAAACGTCAAAGCTGAATTTTTAGCAACCATTACTCCAGTCTTCAGCAGTGTTGGGGGTAACGCATTACAAGTAACATGAGTTACGCAATACGATTACTTTTACTAATGGCGCTTTTCCATTACCAGTACCAGCTCGACTCGACTCGCCTTGGCTCGCCTCGACTCGGCTCGCTTTTCGCTCCGTTTTCCATTGCAGAAAGTACCGCCACAAATAGTACCCGGTCGTCATAGCGACGCATTTCGTTCCTCGTTGCCCCATCAAGCTCTCGCTGGATCCTCTCTTCGGCAACCAAACAAATGAATGTCTGCACCTCCTCGTTTGACCACGGCGTATTCTTCCGAGTTGCCATAATAATAGTAGTAAGTTTAGTAACTATCTCTGGCCAAACTATTTAAAAATGGCGGGGTTATTCTGGATACTCCATCTGGCGCGTGCAATGATGACGCAGATTCTCTGTGACCAATCAGCAGTCGGCATTGTTTTCACGTCACATTTTAGTATCGGCTTAGCTCGCCTCAGCTCGCTTAGAACCTCGCCGGAGGTGGTACGAAAAAAAGTACCCGAAAGCAGGTACAGGTACAACTTTTACACAGTGGAAAACCAAACAAAGGCGAGTCGAGTCGAGTCGAGCCGAGCTGGTACTGTGTAGTGGAAAAGCGCCATAAGTAACGAGTAAAGTAACGCATTACTTTTAAATTTACACCAAAATATCGGAGTTACTTTTTCAAATAAGGAACACAAGTTACTTTGTTTTCCCATTTATTGACTGACAGCTCTCCTGTCCTTATGTTGAGAGAAATCAGGAGTAAGTTCAGAGGCGTTGTGTGTGAACATAATGGTTGTTGTAGTTCTAGACTAACGTGAACATGCATTTACTCTTCTCACTTGCACAAACACTGATTCAGTATTCCTCAAAATGAATAAAAACAGTGAAATGCTAACCATTAAGCAAAACTGCAATAATTAAAATGTTGAATAATATACTATTTATGAATTTAATCTCACTTTATTAACCAGCGTCTTTGCTGTTGACCTTCGATGGTCCAATTCAACCATACAAATAAGCAAACATGACTTTAGTTAAACATCACATTTGTGTTTATTTTTCTTTTTTTTTCTGAAGTGAGAATGTTGAACTTTCTTCTCCTGGGTCATCTCACATTTGGTGTGAAAGCGCCTTCTTTGCATTTGCCAAAAATAGAACTTTTATTTACATCTTTTATAAAGATACGTTCAGTTTGTTGTTTAGTTCAGCCAAGGTGAGAAATAGTAATGTGATGCATTATTTTCCATAAAAACGCAACTAAGTAACGCAATTAGTAACTTTTTTAGGGAGTAACGCAATATAGTAACGCATTATTTTTAAAAGTAACTTTCCAAAATACTGGTCTTCAGTGTCTCATGACTTTTGATCAATTTAATGTGTCCTTGTTGAATAAAAGTATTAAGTTCTTCCAAAAAAAATTAAAGAAAATCTTGCCGACCCAAACTTTTGAATGATAGTATTCAAAAGTAATGTATTAATAATACAATATGTAAAATAATAATACAATATTAATCAGGAAATGATGTGATGTAGGACCTGATTTGACAGTGTCCATACAGATTTGATTGGTCCATGAAAAGTACAGCTAATTATTATTATAAAAAATTTATTTTCAAATGATATACTTTGTTCTGCTCCTGAAAGACGTTTCTTTTCTGCAAGGCCAGAGTCTGATATTACATTTGATTTTTACCCTTGGAATATTGTGCACTATTTAATATTGTGCACTTTACATTCTCAGGTGTTTAACGAGACTTTTTAAAGTTGCTCACCTGGGAGGAAAGCGGATATCCTCCTCTGTGATGACGTCGTGGAACGCAGAGATCTCCTTATCATACTTCAGCAGCTGAAAGACAGAACTCATTTCTAGTGATACACTCTTTTGATTCAATTATAATCAATGTCTAATTTCTTAAAACAAAGCTCAGACCTCTTTTCCGTTGTTTTCTCTGAACACCGCCTGGTGCAAGTAAGCAAATAACTTGGTCTCTATATGAAGGAGAACCTAGTGATGGAGCGATAAAAGAGGAGGACAGAAAAAAAGTATTGAAAAGAAGGAAAAGGAAAAAAAAACATGAGTAAAGAAAAAATAAAAACAAGGAAAGACAAAGAGTAAAGACAAAGGTGAAAAGAGAAGGACAGAGGTTAATGTAGGGCATAAAAAACTAGCAAAGAACGGAGAGTAACTCCAACTTTGCTGGCACCAAAAAAAAATGAAGCACAGGTCTGCAGGAGTGATCTAAATGCAAGCTCGCATTTTCAGGACTGGCAAGAAGTCAATATCAACCGTCCAAGAACCATAAATCTGGCTGGACAGTGTACTGGATATGTCTGAGCGCACACAAAACGAAAAAATTAATCATCTCCTGGATGCTAAGTCAGATCCTTTAACATCTATGTTTACAAAACCTCAGGAAAGCAAGTGTCTCGGCAGGTTTGGTGGTGGCTCTGTAATTCTGCATATTGGTGAATTAAGATTTTATATATATTATTAATATTTTCCGCACTATAAGGCGCACCGGATTATAAGGCGCACCTTCAATGAATTACCTATTTTAGAACATTTTTCATATATAGGGCGCACCGGATTATAAGGCACATAACTGCAGTCAAACGTTTGACTGGGTTTGCGTTATGCATCCACTAGATGTGCTAAAGGGAATGTAGCGAGTGCGCGGCGCCGGAGGCGAGGCGTTTATTAGTAAGCGTGAGCGCGCTGGGGCGGGCACGTAACTTACATTCGCAGCCTGACTCATATGAGTATTCATGTGCAGCGGCTCGCTGACAGCAACAGCTGGCTGTTTTGAATGAGACGACCCGGTTACTGTGAACGGGGAGCGCTTTATGAACATTCTGTGCCGCGCGAGCAGCGCCGGGGACAGTGTGTCTGTTCGTGTGTCTGTTAGTAATGGTATGTTCACACCGAACGCGAATAGAGCGTCAAATACGTGTCTATCGCATCTAGTTAGACGCTTGAACATTCGCTCGAGTTAAATTTTTTCAACTCGCGCGGAAGACATTCGCGGCAAACGCGTCGCCCAATTCGCGTCATTCGCAACGCCCGGCGCGAATGATGCGTCTATTCGCGTCTTTGCATTGACTTTGTATGTAATCGACTCGCGCAAATAATTAAATTCGCGTTCGGTGTGAACACACCATTACACACATAACCTGATTTATACGAGGTTGAACTGGCCGTGTGACAGAGCGGGCATAAGATGGACACGAGCGCGAGTTCGCGGGCGAATTTAATAACGTGGAGCAATTGATCCATATATAAGGCACTCCGGATTATAAGGCGCACTGTCGTTTTTTGAGAAAATTAAAGGCTTTTAAGTGCGCCTTATAGTGCGGAAAATACGGTGTGTGTGTGTGTGTGTGTGTGTGTGTGTATATATATATAAATACTAAGTAAATTAATAATGGTCACAATGGCCAAAGTCCGATTCATACACAACCATTCAAAAGTTTTTGGTCGGTAAGATTTTGTTATGTTTAAAAATAAAAATTATTATGCTCACGAAAGCTGAATTTATTTGATCAAAAAATATAGTAAAAAGTGTAATATTGTGGAATTTAAATTGACAGAATTTTCAGCATCAGCATTGTGAAAGTGTCTTATTTTAATAAGACACATCAGTGTCTTATTTAATTTATCTGTCAGCATTTATTTGAAACAGAAAAGACATTTAAATGGTTACAGAGGATTTCTGTCAATTTCGCTCAATTTAATGTGTTCTTGATCAATAAAAAAAAAAAAAATCTTACTGACTCCTAAGTTTTTGTTTATGTAAAAAAAAAAAAAAAAAAAAATGGAATGTGTAAACAGTCCGTAAATTTACCTCAGACAGACTCAAGTTAACTTTTGCAATGTCTACTGAATGACTGAATCTTAATCTGTAGGCTTTTCTCAGAAATAATTGATATATGCAAATGTTTGTGGTTAATTTGATTAAGTAATCAGCATATAATATACCTAATTCAACATCTCTTTTCATCAAAACAGCTTTAATAATAAATAATCACCTGGTGGTCATTGTCTTTCTCTTCACAAATGATTTTTTCTACCTCGTTGCTACTGTCTTTTTTTACCGTCTGGATATCAGCTGACATGGAGAGGTTCTGAACACAAACAAATACACATATTAATCTTTACATAATGTATGAGTGTATGGTCTCTTTGGTGTGTGTGGAATATATCAGTCAGATTTACCTGTACTAGACTGAGTGTGTCAAGGCGGAAATTGAAATCCCCAAACAGGAAGAAGGGAAGAGGACTGTAGCTGTTATCTTCTATCCTGCAAGACAAGAGAAAAAGTTTGATATGGGACCACAAACCACATTACAACTCAATGTCTTCTCTGCTCAAAGACAACATAACACAGCATTTAACTAATGCATTTCTGTATGTAAGAGAAAAATCAACTGGAAATAATGTTGACCTGGACTCGATTCTATTCAGGCTTTGATTTGATCATGATGAGTGAACTATGATATTATAGGTTAATATTATTATACGTCAGGTCAGAGGTCACTCTTCCGCCGGAACTAGACTCGCGTATGGCCGTTATCGGGAAGCCAGTGATTATAGTTTATAAAGTTACAATTACGCATTGCTTCGCTACAGAAGGCCTTTATTAACCCCCTGGAGCCGTATGGATTACTTTTATGATGAATGAATGTGCTTTTTTGGGCTTCAAAATCTAGGGTACCATTCACACTCTTATTACAAAGCTGGGAAGAGCCAGGATATTTTTTTTTATATAACTCCAATTGTGTTTGGCTGAAAGAAGAAAGTCATATACACCTAGGATGGCTTGACGGTGAGTAAATTATGGGATATTTTATATAAATATATGGGATAAATTTGTGGGTAAACTAACCCTTTAATGAATGTAGGGATAACGTGCACTAATGCGTGTTATTTAATTCTAATTTCATGTTGTCATTTGTATTACTTGAATGTATTTACACACATAATTCAGAAGCACAAACCTGTTGATGACATATCTGAGAGCTTTCTTGCGGTTTGCGGTATACACTGATGGACTAGCGTTGCAGGCTATGAGGTTGGAGGCGTCGTGAAACAGGTGGACATTCACCAGGTCTAAACCCCTGCACACACACACAGATAAACACAATATATATTATATATGGGGGTATCTGTGACTGATGTGGGACATTAGCTGATAGGATGAAGTTCACAGACTCCGTTCATTTATCACTCAGTCTTCAGGTTCCTGTACTGGTCTATTATACTGCTGCCATGTGTCTGCTATTAATGCGCTTCTGATGACATACTATTCCACTAACACACAGCTAACACAAAGTGAAGCCAAAAAACACTTACACGATAGACTGTAAAGAAAATTATGGGGGAAATCTCAAAAGGTGAAGAAGAGTGTGAGTGAAAACATACTGGTTGTGAATGATCCATCGTGTCCTCATGTAGCCTTTTCTGGACCACTTGAACTGTAATAAAATGCACACACACATATGGATAATAGGAGGAGACATCCATATAATTTTATAGACAGAGTTCGAGTAATCAATGATCCAGTCAATGACAGTATTAAAAAATGTTAATACATTTAACATTTTAATATTTTAGTAATACCTGCATGCAGGGGCGTCACTAGGATTTTCATTTTAGGGGGGCTAAGCCCCCAATATGATTTTTTTAAAAAAAATAAAAAAATGTAACACTTTAGTTTAGGATCTAAAGATCACTATTAACCATTTTCATTACGATGCAAAGGCACGGTTTTATAATAACTGTGGTCCCTAATGTGAGGTAGGGCAAATAGGGGGGTTTGGGGTCTCCCCGAGAAAATTTTGATTTCTCTGATCTACATATGTGCATTTTAAGATGTTCTGAAGGCCAAAAAACTTGGATAGTGGGCAGCTGATTATTTTTCTCTCCTCATCAGCATCACACTCTTTTTCTCTTTGTTTTTATCTTGCCCTGTCTCTTCCCCTCCTAAAGCTGAGCTTTGACTGATATAGGCTTTTCATTTTTGTCTGTCAGTGAAGAAAGTAAACATAGGGTCAATTGATAGGTTGATTTTGCCTATGAATCATTTTCTCAGACGTGTTTATTTACTGAAAGCTACTAAAGGTAATTAAGTTTATTAAATGCATTCACAATATGTAGGCTACACATTTATTATTGATCTTATGCCTAATACAGGGCCGTAGACAGGGCTTTAGTCACAGAGGTCCTAAATTTGAGGTTGGTAGGGGGTTCAAATTTTTTATTTCTCTGATTTGTGCATTTCAAGACGTTTGAAGACCAAAAAAGGATAAGAAATAGCTTTAAAACCATGTCAGTGGGCAGATTATTTGTCAATACCTGCTCTCTTATCTCCATCACTCTTTCTTTTTTTCTCAGTCTCTTCGTCCCTTTCTCTTCCCCTCCTAAAGCTGAGCTTTTTTAATTTACTAATGGCTACAATTTGTATTATATCCTCAATATGTACACATTCATTATTAATCTTGTGCCTAACATGATGAAAACGGCTTTGTTAGTGTTTCTTGTAAACTAATTATTACATTACATGAGTCACGTTACAGCCTATTTTCAGTTCAAAATGGCGAAATTAGACAAAACTATATTAGTTTGCCTGATTATTTTTTGTCATTCGTTTAACATTTATGACCTAAAAAAAGTAAAATATGAAATGTTAAGTTTAGCTACTTACATCTTATCTCGCACTTGACCGTAACTGTTAAACTGTTAACCGAGTCGCACTGTTAAAATTCGCGCTCAGCAGCGTCTGTGAACATAAAGCCTGCCTACTTTGATTTGATTGGTCATCTCAAATATTCTGACATTGACGAGCAGTGACAGACCAATGAGGCTCAGATGAACACACATGAACACACACACCCTGTCCTCTGTTTCTGACGTGCTCTCTGTCGGCGCCGCTGCGGATTGAAGATGAAGAACGCGCTGAATCTGATTATAACAAGACTGAAGCGAACACAAATTTGTGTAGCCTACATTAATCTCACATTTTTAGGGGGGCTAGGCAGAAGTTTAGGGCTGAAGCCCCCCTAAAAAGGGCCTAGTGACGCCCCTGCCTGCATGTTAAATATTTAACTTTAATTTAAATGACCAAACATTTAGATTTTGCATACAACCTTGTTACTGTATATGATTTCCCCCTCATTATAAAATATGTAGCATTCATTAAAATTGTGACAACTAAAAAAATAACATAATTTGGACCATTTGTACAGCATGATGGGAAGATAAGTAAAAAATTGTATTCAACAATATTACAGACATGAATATATTTAATGAATTAATGAAATGTTTAATGAATTCTTGAAATAATCGCTGATAGTTTGTTCTGCTTCTAGTTTCTGTGTGTTTCAAGGTTTATGTAACAAATGCTCTATATGAGAGCATTTAACCAGTATAAGTGTGAGTAAATTAAACTGGTGCATCCCTAAAAATTTAGTCAAAACAGAAGTGTGTGACACAGCAAAGAGAAATTCACAACAATTGTAAAAAAAAAAAAACACCAGAACACTACACACACTTACATCAGGCCAAAAGTTCTTGGGGAATTTCTCTTTTTCCATGGTAGTCACTCCTTCCAGGGAGCCCACGTACTTGTTATGGCCTGAGACAGCTTTAAACTCCTTCACTACAAGGAGGAGGAATAAACAAACAAGACATATTGTTAGAAAAACATGCAAATGCAAAATCAATATACTAATGTTGGAGTTGTCGTGCAGCTGTAGGCTGTGAGAGCAGGATCTATGAGACACTGATTTGATAGGGCACCACATTCATTGGTCCACTGATCTTAATGGCTCTTCTATTAGTCCTCTCCTTGAGAGCTTATTCATGAGATGCTGTGACTAGAACAGATGAAGGCTCGAGAAAAAAAGCTCATGAGGTTAAATCCTGTTCTATCAGAGACACTAACCAAACGAGTCAAAGGAGAACATTTATTTCTGTTGTGTTGGTTGGAAATTCATCTCTCTGCTAATAGCAGTAAATGTCTTGTTTTTCGACCAGTAAGATTGTGTGAATTTCACAAATGTAATTTTTTTTTTTTTTGGTACAAATTGGGAAAACCCTTGTACCATTTAACCCACTTCATTACACAATTTCCACGAAATGTTTCATCTTGATCTTAATCTTTAATATTGAATAAAACATTTTGAGAAGCAACACTGTTCCTCAACTGAATTCTATGTATTCACCTGAACTTTTAACTTTTAATTATTTTTAATGTAAAGCATCTTTAAGGTTTTACTTCGCTTCATTCATTCACATTTTTTTCCAATGGAGATTGATTCTCATTTGTTTTTCATGACTGTAGTTCTGTCAGTTAATACAATATTTTTTTTTATGAGCATAAATTAAAGCCAGTTCAAAAACGACTTTAATTAAGTATACATACTATATAGATACAATTTAGAAAATATAACATATTTTTCTTTATGTTATACCATATTTGTTCTTTATATTATATTACAACAATTTACATTTTTGGGATGCATTTAGTTGTTGTGAAAAAATAATGTCACAATGCAAAAATCTTAATGGTCCTAAAAAAAGAAAAATATAATTTCCTATTATACATGCCGAATTCTGTCAATGCTTGGCATTCAGCGTTCAAATATTTCTGAATAAATCGCAGCTCATCCACAGGTGACAATGTATGACCAACTGACCACTCCATAACTGCTCAAATACTTTGTTTATTTATTGATTTATTTGCTAAAAAGCCATGTAATAACTAAGCAGGATGATGCACAATCAGCTAGTCAATATTGCAAAATACCCCAACGTGGTGATCGGGATTTTGCAATATGACCAGGACTTGTTCTTGACAGGTTTTGTGAAATTCAACCATAATATTAATATAAATACTTTATAGTACATTTATCCAAATAAAACTCTTACCATTGAAGTCATATTGTTGGATATTTTTCAGTGACTTGTGGATGAAATACATGCTTCCCAGAGCCTAAAATCAAATAAATCAATCAGTCAAGCAAACAATCATACATTATTTCGTGTGATCTTCTAATCGAAGCCCTAATAATATCCCGAGTGGATACAGGGCTAATGACCTGACAGCTTAAAGTCATGCATAAAAAGGGGTTAATGGAGATCTCCACTGTCTGAAGAGCTGCTTTGATTTTAGATGATGTTGATGATGTACTTGCATCATAATCATTAAACCCTGACTTTCAAGACTCTGTTACAGTCGATTTCCTTCTGTCTGTAAAACAAAACTATCCAATCATAAACTTGCCCATAGTTTTGGTACCCCAAAAAACACCTAGATATGCCCATGCAATACTCTACTCGCAAACCTCACTCCCTGCGTTTTCTGACAGCACGCTGAATGAATTTAATGTACTAGCTGCTTGCTCTGGTGAGCGCACATCAATCCAGCTCCGCAGAGATCAATACAGACAGAAAATTAAAACAATCACACAGGGATTAAACACAGGGCCCTCCTGTTGGCCTAACACGAGCCGCATGGATGGCAGAGAAAAATGACCTGCCATTGAGGGATGTTTTGACATGAAGCACACCACACCGTAAACACACACACACAGTCAGGTTTTCTTCAAAATATCTATCCCAGGAGAAATAAATAAATCTTGTGAGAGAAATTATCCTTTTTTAATATGACAGTGCTTTCCAGATGACCAGTCTTGAGAGACTGGACATTACAACAGGCACATGTGCTACCCAAGCACAACAGCTCCGGCAGGGGCCAGAAATTATTGGGGAGAGAGATGGGAAATTGGACTGGGGAATGACGCAGACTGGACTAACCTTTTTTTGGGTTTGTCTGTTGAGAGTGTTATATTATAAGAGACTTCTTTTGAAAACAAATCTTACAAACATTTGATCAGTAGTGTATTTGATTTGTTAGCCATGAGCAAAGACAAACAGAATTCTTTAACACTTTAAGGCTAAAGAACTAAAAGCCAATATATTGTATTGCTGTAAAGTGTCATTAAATACTGTTGACAAGGATTGACTGTATTTGAAATACCACTGGGCCATGGGAAAATTTGGGTCTGTTTGATAAACAAATAATTATGTGTTGGCAAAAAATAATCAAATCTTGCTAAAATTTTGCAGCTTTTTATAATGAAGGTCCTCATTGCAGTGCATGAACTCACACACACACACAGCCATTGGCTGTGTTAACACCCACCTTCATTCTCATTTGTCTCACATCATCTGTATTGATTTGTAATTAGTTTTCTGAGGGTTGTGAATCATCGCTTGACTGGGAAGAGAGTGTGTGTGTAAATGCAGAGAGCGTCTGGCACACATCGTACAAATGGTGTTTAGATAAAAAAATCACTTTTAAGTCAATACATTTTTATTAAACCCTGCACTGGCCTGATGGATGAAGATAGGTGTAAAGCTCCAAGTGTGCTGATCTCTCTTTAAGTGTGAATGTGTGTGTGGGGCTGTGGGTCCCGTTGAAACAGGCTCATGATGTGATGAACCAATTTTTTGACAAATGTGTGCATGACATTTGTATATTTGACATAAATTTGTAATTTGGGAACAAAAACTGAAGCAGGTGTGGCAAAGGGCCCACGCACAGAAAAACTCTGCTACTAACAATCCTGCATCAACAAAACAAATACACACTCACTCACTCACACACGTACACATTCAGTTTATTTATCATGTTCAGATGAGAGGGGCCTAATCAATAGTTTTAATCTGGAGTTAAACGTATTGACTCGGTCTGCTGCCTGGCCACTCCCGCACATTAACCCAGTCCATCAAGGTACAGACCATACACATTGTGTACAAACACACAGACAGCACCTCTCACCTGGGTGGGCTGAGGGTTAATACCCTGCCAAACACCAGCAACTTCTCTCTTTTCACAGATTTTACTGTTACTTTGAGTAATGAAAGGGGTGCCCCTGGGCTCTATCTTTGGTCCATCACTGTTTTTAGATAGTAGCTGGCCAATAATTTACTTAAGAGGTCTTTGTAATTTTTTATTTTAATACGGTCTCCCACTGTATATTCCATTTTGAATAACTTAAAAATTTTAAATCTGTTGTAGCACTTTGAACAGTTAAAATAAATTCACGGGTGTTGAAATGATGAATCAGATTTTTTTCAGAAATCGGACTGATCTTGTTATTGAGTTCAACTCACTGACTCAATGATCTGGTCACAGTCGCTAACAGCTTACTGTGGGGAACAATTATCAGTTAAAAACAAAATATTAGTCTGTTCCTCACAAAAAAACTATTGGATGGCTTCAGAATACTATTTAGTAATTATTTTGCAACACGCAAGTAAGCTATTTTCTGTGAATGTGCAAGACTCCCAATTCATTAGCCAATACAGATAAATATCTAGAATAAAAACAAAGTGCAGTAAACAGTAAAACTATTTGCACTATGTGTTTTTATGTTTACGATAATACATTAAAATTATATGATAACAAATACGATCTTGCAATATCCAGCAGCATAATGGAAGCGAATGACAATGCAAGCTTCGCACAATCAACTTGCAAAGGCCAAAGCTGCTGCTACATTAAACATAAGGTGGATAGATTACTTTTAATGTTTTTTTTTTTTACTTTTATTTATTTAATTTTGCACCTTGAAAGCCCCCTGTCCTCATTCACTTTCATCAAAGTGAATAGCGGCCAGGATACACATCCACTATTTATTTGTATATATATATATATATATATATATATATATTTGTATATATGAATTGGTTTATAATGGCATTCATAAATGACGACAGAATTTATATTTTAAGTGGACTATCACTTTGACTTTAAAGCACTGCTGTGAGTGTAGGTAACAATAGCACTTGAATCACAGGAAGGTGAGTATTGGAAGAAAAATCTAAAAATGGTTGTAGAGCTCTATCTAGTGGACATATAAACCAATCACAGCACTGATGTTGCAAAAGGCAAACACAATTTAAGTAAGTGCATGACAGTTAAATGTGTTTCCCTTGAACTAAATCACTAGGGAAACAAGTGAAAATATCAGATATTGCAACAACTGTAACACTCACCGTGAAACTGTCCACAGCCTTGAAATGACTGTCTACATAGACACAGACTCTGTCGAAGTCTGCCATCTCAGAGCTGGACTCTATGGTCCTATAATCAGAAGAAAGGAAAGGATGAAAACAATATAATTCTAGCATATCAAAATAGAAAGAATAAATCCTTTGTAATCTGTTAAATACACTGCTATCACATCATTCAAAAAGGACTGAAAAAATAATGCTACTATCACATTATTTGGATATTTCTAGACATGCAACAATACCATGTAAATACCATGGTAAATACACACGGGAATCAGTGATTTCTCATCTCATTCTGACAATACTGCCACAGTACTTTTTAATAAGGTGACTCATTTATAGCACACAATCTGCCATATCCTCACCAGAAAAAGTTCTCTGCGTGGCCCATGTTCATCATATAGTCCTTTCCACCAACTTCCTGAAAGTGCAGGGCGACGAAGCGTGGCTTGTACATGTGGACCGTCTAAGATGATAAGATTTACATTAGACTTACAATTAATTTACTATTGTGTTTATCAGCTGTTGCATCACTGAATTCATTAATTAAAGGGATCAAATCATGAGAATAATATAATGACATGCTTTGTTTTATATTAAAAAAAAAACATACTGTAGCTAGTACTGTACTGTAACTTCTCCAGTCACATAGATGTAGAATAGATAATATAACTCCTGACCCCAGAAAGACTAACCATTAGAGTAAGTAGAGTGAGATTTGGGGAAAGTCAAAATTGTTGAGTTCATGTCAGTCTGATCTTAATAGTTTGTGTGGCACATTTCAACATGTATTTTTTTAGTACATTTTTATAGAAAAATACATATAAATATATCATTTTGAGCCAAGTGTATTTTAACTTTATTGCTATCTTTGATGAAGTTGCACAAATATTGTTACCAGGCAAAAAGACAACCACAGACAATTCAAATACAAGGTAACAGATTTTATATGCATTAGATGCCGAGATTTTCCAGCAGGGAAATCATTAAATCTGTGATTCAACTTCGTTTTGCTCACAACGTGACAACAGCAGATAACATAACATGATTTAATGGTGTTCCAAAGACAGGTTGTATAAATGAGACAAACACCTTTAGGTTTACAGTGACCGAGTAAAGTTCACTCTGCAAAGGTGTGTGTGTGTTTATAGCAGGTTTGAACAGATGGAGAGCTTAGACAAAGAAATGTCCGTGTGAATATTAGAACAGTAAAGAGCATGTTAAAAAAAAAAAAAAAAAAAAGAAAGAAAGAAGCAGCTTGTGTTGTTTAGTTTTTCTACTATGCTAAATAGAGCAACATCAGATGTGAGTGTTTGAATGAGAGACACGTGAAAGGCATCAAACTCACCGTGAAGAACTCTCGCAGCCAGTCTCCTTCAATTTCACCCACCTGAGAAAAAGAACCAGATTTCCCTGTAAGGGCACTTTAATAATAGTAATTAATAACATGGTCAGGTAATAACCACTGCTTTAAGCTTTGAACTGCATTGTGGATTACATTTACTGGGTAATGGATCTCAATTCAGAGATATTAAGTTTGAGTGCTTTGATTGTGTCATTACAGGTAAATGTGCCACTGAAGGTCTTTATCAAACCAGTCCAGTAATAACAAGTGCTATTTTAGTTCTCTAGACAGACTTACAGATAGACTTGAGGTGTGTTATGCACTTTGCACAGTACTACATACTTTTTATTTCACAGCTGAATTTTAAATGATAATAAAACAATAAAGCAGCTGTGAAGCGATATATATATATATATCATTAAGAGTCTGAATGTTGACACCCATCCATGGGGTGAAAGTACAGTACATCCCTCCCATTAGATTATCGAGTTACTCTAACCCCTTTACCAAACTGGACAAGAATAAATGCATATATTAACAAATATAATATTACAAAGATGATGACGTATATGCAGCATATGCTTCTGACAGAACAGATCTAAAACTCGAAGAATGAAGCTATATTGTGTGTTACCAAGGAAACGCCAAGATTTTGAACAAAGAAAAACATTAACATTTAAAAAACTGCATGAATAATTTAAGAACTGAAAGCAAAAACCATTTAAAAGTGAGTGTGTGCGTGTGTACTGGTGGGAAATGTTGTTAAAAAATTAAACCGTTATCTCAAGGCTGTGAGAAGCAGGTTTCAAATACGGTTAAGTCTGATCCTTTAGACATCAATCTATGAAAATTAAAAGGTACTGTTTCAATATCATAAACAATATGTTGCAGGCTCAATTTTAAGACAATAACTTAGCATGTAATTATAAAGTGAAAGAGATTAGCTTGAATTATAAAAACATATGGACCTGGTTGAGATGCACAAACAAACAGAGCAAATGTTTTGATAAAGGCACAGTGTTAAACTTTTTAGAAAAATAAACCTATGTGAATGGCCTTGTAAGGCAAACAGAACCTCAGATACTTTGATCTCCTGATATATTGACAACTCAAACACATACAGTCATTTGTCTCCACAACACTTAGTCACCTTCATTTATATAGCGATTTTAACAATATAGTGATAATAAGAAATTAAAGTAACAGAGATTGTTTTGGCTTTACAGCAGCTCTAGAATAAAGTTATTGTCCAGCTAAAGTTAGTTTTGATTGATTCACTTCCGTCACAACGATCATTAGTTGTTAACTTAGGGGCTGCTAACATTTCTAACAGAAAACCCTTAATGCGATCCAGCCACTCGTTTGCACAAAACAGTGCCTGGTGGCTTGAGAACAACGCAAACCATGAGATAGGTTCCAAGGTACAAGCCTTGAAAAATGTATAATACAGAATTTTTTATCGCTTCTGCGTAGCCACGTGAACCAGAATTATCCCGACAACGTTTTATCTGTACAGAGGTAAAGGGAAGGAGCCAGGCCTTCACAGGGGAGAGACTACTTGACACTTCAGGACTGCGTTGTCGTCGTGTCCAGACACAGGTCCTTCATCAGATCTGGATACGGCCTGGATCCGGCGGACTGCGGTAAACCTCAGGATAGACAGATAGACTAATATTAGCGTAGACGCCATCCTTCTTATGATGTAACAAGTACATCAGGATTTATGGGAAGTGTTCCCGATTCCGGCTGACCTAATCTATGCAGCCTAACATTGAATTATAGAAGTCTATAATGTGTTATGTGTATGCTAGGTCAAAGAGAAGTGTTTTTAGTCTAGCTTTGAACTGACAGAGTGTGTCTGCTTCCCGGACAATGTTAGGAAGACTGTTCCAAAGTTTTGGTGCTAAATAGGAAAAGGATCTATCGCCAGTAGACGATTTTGATATTCTAGGTATTATCAACTGGCCGGAATTTTGAGATTGCAATAGACATGAAGGACTATAATGCGTTAAGAGCTCGCTCAAGTACTGGGGAGCTAAACCATTTAGTGCTTTGTAAGTAATCAGCAATATTTTAAAATAGCTGCTGGCTGCTGCATTCTGGACCATCTGTAGTTTGTTTATTAAGCGTGCATGGCAACCACCCATAATAGCATTACAATAATCTAGCCTTGAGGTCATGAATGCATGAACTAACTGTTCCGCATTTGTCATTGAGAGCATATGATGTAATTTAGATATATTTTGAAGATGGAAAAATGCGGTTTTACAGATACTAGACACGTGACTTTCATATGAACGATTGGTATCAAAGAGCACACCCAGGTTCCTAACTGACGACGAAGACTTGACAGAGCAGCCATCAAGTGTTAGACAGTATTCTAGGTTAGTATGTGAGGAAGTTTTTTGTCCAATAATTAGAATCTCTGTTTTTTTAGAATTAAGTAGTAGGAAACTAGTCATCCAGTTTTTTATATCAGCTATGCATTGCGTTAATTTTGTGAATTGGTGCGTTTCGTCGGGGCGTGAAGAAATATAGAGCTGAGTATCATCAGCATCACAGTAAAAACTAATGCCATGCTTCCTAATGATATCTCCTAAGTGTAGCATGTACAGAGTGAACAGCAATGGTCCTAGTACTGAGCCTTGTGGTACGCAATACTGAACTTTTGATCGATATGACATCTCTTCATTTACTGCTACAAACTGATAACGGTCAGATAAGTATGATTTAAAGTAAACCATGCTAATGCAATTCCACTAATGTCAACATCATTTTCAAGTCTATTTTAAAGAATGTTGTGGTCGATGGTATCAAATGCAGCACTAAGATCGAATAACACTAATAGAGTGTTAACACACCTGTGAAGTTGCAAGAAATCTACTTTCCCTCCTGTCCTCCCTTCACATTTGTTACTTCTCCCCCACTTCCTAACTTTACACATTCTTCTCTTCACTCAGTTCACTTAGAAAGATTATATAAATGATTATAATGTTCTATGTCAATGCAAGTGAATTAACAGTCACGTTTGGTATCATTTAAAATGTCTCAGTGTGACTGGTACAATGGTCTCATCTCCACAGAATTAAACCAAAAGGTAATAAAGATTTCAAGAGTTTAGAGATACTTTGCTTACTGTGGTGGGTGTGCCTCTTTCCCAGAGTCCTTCATCCAAACTACCTCCTGTTCCCTGACAAGGTGCAAACCCCCAAGGTCTATAACCATAGTCAATTCAAATTCCTGTTGTAAGTTCATGCACCACATTGGGGGATGTTTTGTCTTGGTCTAGGTATTTAAAGAAATGCTGAAAAAGTCTTTCAGACACTCTGTCTGCATTATGTATACTATTTTTGTCAGGTATGCATCTTCTATTCATTATTCCAGAACATTATCTTTGAATTGATTATGTAACTGAGATATAAACTGACTAATAAAAAATTGTCACATTTGGATTTATTCTAATTATTAACTCTAGTAGATTACGTTAAGTCCATAACACCACAAGTCTACACTCAGGTTAGTAATGGACTAAAATACTGCTCAGCTGAAGTTTTAGAACTCTGACTAACACATTGGCATTAGTCATGTATACTTAGAATGTAAAGGGCTAATAATGGGGTTTTCCATTTAGAAAGTGTTGTTGAGTGTTGTTAGACCAATCTAAATAGGGGTGAGCCTCAACCTCTGATTATTGTATAGTATTATTCTAACGTGGGAAACCACGGCATGATTATACAAAGTTACCATTAGAGAAAGTTAAGTTGGCCAGCTTTGTTCTATGGTAATTGTTAAATATAGTCTTGCCTTAATTTAGTGTGTACAGACCTTTGGAGACTACATAATATACTTTTAGAAATTAACAAGCATGGTGCGGTTATCTAAAAAGTAGTAGTAAATCGCCTCTATTAATGACCAAGATTGACGAGTTTGTGATTATGAGGTCGTATACCCGGCAGTTGCGTGACTCAAAGTATTTTAGGAATCTGGATGGACGATTGTAATTTCAATAGAGTTAAAGAGTTAAATAGAATAATCAAATGCCTAGCTAAACTATTATACAAATGACCAATAATCAATTGGGATTATAACCTAAATTCGTGGTCGTAATAAAATGGAGTTAAAAATACTTGCCAGTGAAAAAAAAAACGAATGCGCAGAAACCTTCACTCGCTCTATTGGAAAACGTCGTTGGGCTGATTGGTCGGGCCTTACAGTCTCAAGACAGGAGAAAGTATTTTAACATCAAATAAAAAGAAACACTTTAACTTTAACTATACTGATAATAATTAGTTGTGGTTTTACTTATTTTATTTATCCAGACTGTGGTCTATTTCAAAATAATTATTAGATATTGTCTTTCAGAAGAAATGAGACAAATGAGTTTTCATAAAGACATTTAAAAGGGTGGTTCTTGCAGGTCATGCATAGCAGAAATGCCTTGTATTTAGGAGAGTAGGCAAAGGAATTAGGATCGACTTGCTAAAGCCAGCAGCCATAGGCCCTATAGCTCTAAAACATGAAATGGGTTCAGGAAGGTGCTGATATTGAGAACTAGGTTAATGACATATTTCAGACGTGTGATATTTTTTAGCACTTCAGGCATTTCAAGCACACAGTTGTGAAAAAGAAGTACACTTTAACATTCTTGTTAAACTGTGAATGTCATTGTGGCGAGCAGGACGAGGCCGAGGGCCGTAAGTAGGGGCACGAGGTGCGACATGATGAGTGACACCTGCGAGACGCACCGGTTTCGTATTGCTCACAGAAAAGCGGAGGCATAAAGGAGGAGCTACGACAGTGAAGAGGGAGAAAGGAACAGGCCTGATTGTCTCTCCCTCTTCACTGTCGTCGCTCCTCCTTTATGCCTCCGCTCCTCCGTGAGAGATACGAGACCGGTGCGTGCCACAGGTGTCGCTCATCATTAATCACGCCACCGGCCTCGCGCTGCTCTCTCACGGCCCTCGGCCTCGTCCTGCTCGCCACAGTCATGTTTTTGGACACTTAATTACAAAATGATTCCATCAATTATGAAAAATTATTTATTA